TAATTTCCAAGTGGAGAACTAGTGGAAATTTGCTAGAGATATCAGCTAGAAATATGTTTATGTGAAGAAGCACTAACATAAAGTTTACAATTGACCTTCAATTTGTCGCGATAAATGCTGCTATCGCTAACCGCCATCTTTCAATTTTATAATTATTTGTTACGAATCTGCAAATTATTTCAGTTTTAAAAGATATTTTCAATTTGCTCAACATTTAAGTGTTGGGTGTGAGAGAAAAAATTACTTTTAAGAAAAGCTTTTGACTTTATTGAAGAGAGGAATTATTTAAATGTTTGTATGAGTCAGTTAAACTAGAACTGTAATAGATGTCAATCACTTTTGTTAGACATTTTCATGCGGTTGATTTTTATTCCATCTTTCATCTTTAAATTTCTATATGCATTATTAAGTCAGCATAAGCCGAATCATTCTGACATTTTTAAATTTATTTTGTTCTCTTTCTTCATAGTAATTAAAATATTAATTATTTAGCTCTACAGTATTTTATTTTAATTTAAATGTAAATACAATTACTTAACTAACTGCTAAGTTTGTTTTTATTATTTATTTATTTTTTTTTTTTTGCTAAGATTCATGTTGGTCGGATGAAAAGTGAAACATTTCCGTGAGTCAGAAAAGCAATTAATGATAACACTTACTGTCATGTTAACTCATCAACCAATCTGCACTGATATGATTGATTTAAAGTTTATCATAGAAATGCAACTATCAGTAATAAATAAAAACGATGATGAAATGTTTAAATAATAATTAATTCTTATTGTTTTCTTGTGTTTACTAATTGCATGTACTTACTCCAATGTGTCATTCATGGAATATTTCACTGATAATCAATTTTTAAGTTAAAATTTTTTAAGTTAAATTTTTAAGTTTCATTCATTCAACATTTTCAATTGGAAGATTTCACTTAATTTCATTAACACTTCTATTTTATCAAACTTTTCACTCTTTTTTTTTTCCCACCAATTCTAAAATATATCCTTCATTCCTCCATAATTACTACTGTTATTCATTCTGTCATCTCGCATGCCTTTCCTGTTATCATCACTTCTTTATAGTATATGTTGGACGGATGTCATTTACTTGAAATTAAATTTTAATTTTATTCCTTTTTAAGTGTAAAGCTTGCATATCTATTAATAACTATTTTATTATTAAATTCTCATATATATATATGTGTGTGTATGTGAGTCTGAAAGCTATTCATATCTATCTATTTTTTTTTTAAAAATGCTTACTTTGTAATTCAGATAAGTCAAGGAGATTTGTTAGTTCATTTAGCTAAATGGATGGAATTCAGGCAGGAAAGAATTCTTTTATTCTATGCCTGACATCAAATCTAATAAGCTTTCGTTTTGATTTACTGCATAAATTTGAAATGTAAAAAGAGTAAAGGTTAAGATAAGCAATTCATTCAAAAAAAAAAAAAAAAAAAATATTATCATATCACAGATTTGTAAGCTAATTAAAAGCATCCATCTCTTCGTTTTTCCTTCTTTTTTTTCTTGTTTTTAGCTTAAGATAATCTTTCTTAGCTTAGCTTAGCTAATCTCAGTTTCACTGAATGCGCAAATGAGTCATTGCAAGCAAAAATTTCTCAATTTTGCATTTTTTTTTATCAATGCATCATTTCTTCATCGTTTCCAATCTTTTCTTCTTCAAATGTAAACTGATCAATTCTTTATCACTTCTCATCCTTATCACAACAAAATGAATGAACTTTTCCTGTTCAGAGTACAGCAAAAAAAAAAAAAAAAGATCATAAAAGAGGCTATAAGTTAAGTAAGAAAAAGGAATTTTCTGAGAAGATTCAATTCTTATATATAAAAAAGTTAAAAAAGCGAAGAGAGAGAGAGAGAGAGAGAGAGAGAAAGGGAGGGAGGGAAGAAAAAAAATATGGGAAAGAAGACAGAGAAAAGGAAAAAGGAGTAAATAGTGTGTGATTATATTTTGCAAGTTCATAATATAATTTAACTTTTTAAGCTGTTAAATCGCTACTTTCTTGAAGCTTATTTCTACTTTTTATGCTATTTTTGCATTCTTTTTCCTTGAGCTTTTTATATAACTAAAGGTAAAAAGGAAGAGAGAGAGAGAGAGAGAAAGAAGATGCTTTAATATTTCTGTGTTTGTCCGCAACTTTCATTTCAAAACCATTTCGGCACTATATATGCTTCATTTATTTTATTTGCCATAAATTCATCAAAACTTCATAGATTGATTTTTCTTGTTGCAAATTGTAATTCTGTGCAAAAAAAAAAAAAAAAAAATGCAAATGTATGATATAATCAAATTTCTCAAATATGTCTAAAATTGACAATATTAATTGAAAATATAAATTGATTAAATTAATTACAAATGAAAAAGAATTAGCTAAAAATATTTGTCCAATGGTTGGTTGTATAAATCTTTCGTATTAACAACCATAAATACTTGAGGAATAGAATTGCTAAATGAAATTAGGGCACATACTAAGTGGTCAATATGGCATTGTGGCCAAAGATATATGGCGATGATACTTGTGGCCAACAAACGAGTAGTTAGGCATCTTGCATTCAGCATTCAATCTTCTTCCTTAAATTTTTCCATGATTTAAAATATATGCAATGTGTGATCTTTTCATAAGATTAAGTCTGCAAAGAAATTCTCATTAATTTATTTATTTTATCAATCTTCCTCTTTTCTTCTCCTAACTTACTTTTGAACTAAAGTTAGAAGCTATGAAATATTTAATTCTTTCTTGCTTACAGTTTTATTATTTTAAATTTTTACTCTGTCACTATTGTACTGTTTGCTTCCATATTTTCTGCAAATTGCTTTGTCAAATTGATTATTAGAATCCATAGGAAAAATTGCAAACTTTCTGCTTTTTAAAACAAAACATTTAAAAATTTTTCCAATTTTAGAAAGCTCTCATTGCGACAAAATTTAATAAAATAGAGAAAATTAGTTAATAAAATGGGTTCAGAGATAATAATCATTATGATTAATGTGCTTTTAGAAATTTGATAAGTTGTCTTTTCAAATTGAGCAATAATAGGAAAAACAGGTCCTTCGCCAAAATTTCGAAAATGTTCTTTCGCCCTTAGGCTATTAAGATATTCTGCATTTTTAATTTCTATTTACTTTTCTACTATAACATATCAAATCAAATTACAAAGTGATTTGAAAACTTTTTGATAATTGAATTTTTAGTCAATTTGTGACTTTTTGAAAGCCTAACTTCAGTCTTTGAAATTAAATTCAATTGGTTCTGGAATTAATATTAATGAATGCAATGTAATTATATTTTCCGAATATGTAAAAGCAGGAGGATTAGGAGACGGAAAAGGAGAGAGAGAGGAAGAAGGAGAGAGAGAGAGAGGGATTTATAATTTTGATATATTAGATAAGTAGCAGGTGCTAATTTCTATCATACTTTGGTTAAAGTAATTTAAAGTATTATATTAAACCTTTAAAACTGCACTCTCATTATTATGAGATCAAGACTTCCGATTTTGACCTTTGTATTTCGAATCTTTTGACCAAATAAATATAATCAATGGTCAATTCTTATTCAACATTTTAAATCATTTATAATTTGAGCAGAATAACAACAAAATTTTGCTTGTTCCTAAATTTTTAAAATTAAAAATAGTGAAGTACACAGTAATGGGAAATGTGAAATTTGATAAAATCAAGTTGAAAATTTTCTCATGAGCTGAATAAATGAAAAAATAGAAAATTAAATAAATTATTGAAGAATTTGAAAGCATACAACAATCAAACTTTTTTATAGCTTTGTATTGCTTGCTAGTTCTATGATTTCTGTTTTTTTTTTCCGGATAAAATTATTTTTTGCCAAAAAATGTAATTTAATATTAGTTTACTGATAGATAGGAGTAAAACAACAAAGACGAGAGGTCAAGTGTCAACAAAATTAAGAATTGAAAACAGAAAAAGGAAAAAATGGAATGAGGAATGGAAAAGAAAACTGAAAATAATTTTTTTTTTTTCACATAAAATAAACGGTTATTGAGAAGTGGAAAAGCACTGATGGCTTCGTTTTTGCCTAAAAAATTTATCTGAGATCCTTCTCTCTCTCTCTCTCTCTCTCTCTGTCCCTCTCTCTTCCTACTAACATTCCAATCGGTTCCTTGCACCGAGAAAAGGTGTGAAATTTTTTCTAGGAAATGAAAAGCACTGAAATGAGTTGAGAGATTTGAGTTTTTTTTTTTTTTTCTATTTTACGAAATTTAGATATCAATGATTAAATAGCACAACAAATGGCCTCATAAAAGTAAGAAAAAAATTTCTCGAGACTGAGGAATTTTTTTTTTTTCTAATTTTTTTTTCTGCGACTTTTTATTGTTTTGTTAATTCCATTCCGATATGAAACTGCATTTTTTTTTTATTTTTTTTTTTGTATATAAAATTTAATTTGATAAAAACAGAAAATTTTAAAAAGATGATTTTAAGATTTTAAAATGATGACTATTGAATGGAACTTGTTAGGTTATGGAACACAGAAAAGTTTGTTTTGAAATTGTCCGCTGAGATGAGTTATTTCAAATGACCAAACAATCTTTCGAAATATGATAATAAAGAATGAAAAAAAAATGTTTCACTCAAAAAATTCTTGAAGGATAAATTTTTCTTTTTCGAAATTTAAGATAATATTTAAATTTTTTGGTGTATTAGGTGCAAGCTTTATATAATTTTGATTACTTTTTGTAATCATTCTTTATTTATTATTATCACTTTGACAAATGTTATTGTCTCATCATTGAATATATATTTACTTAGTGATTAAAAGTTTACAAATTATGAAGATAGATTGAAACAATTGAAAAATGATTTCAGGCTAATTGTTCATACTGCAAGCAGTTCTCATTTATTTGCATTAAACTTTCTGTGATCATTTTGACAAAGAATTTTTGTGAAATGATATTTGATAAAGAAACATTTGCAGTATTAAAATTAGGAAGGTAATTAATTATATCATGACAAGCTGCTTTTTTCTTCGATTAATAATTCTTTTTTGGTCAACATTGCATGCATTTGTTTATGGTAATCCGAAGTATCAACGAATATTCATCAGTGCAAGGTTCATGTTTTCAAATTTTCTCTTCTAGATTTTCAATTTTTAAATCACTAATCACTACGATTAAAATTCTTTTTCTTTTCTCAAGTTTTGTATTCTAAAAAAGTTTTCATTCTTTTTTTAACCTTAATTAATAATAGAGAAAAGGAAGATGTGAGAATGAAATTATTCCTTAGACAGAAGTAATCACACTTATTGACTATATTAAATAAATTCCAATAATAAAGGATAACTGAATAGTTTGGTTTAGATTGTTTAATGATTTAAATAATTTTTTTTTTTCATCGTTTCATTTCAGGGCAATAAATTTTGTAGACACAACAAAGCATGGCTTTCGAATTGTTCTATTGAATTCATTTCTGGAGGCGCATCTTTCACCAACCCAAATTCCGACATTATTCGTTTCTGCAATTCCACTAAAATCAGGCGAACCGCTTATTAGCAAAGTTTTTTATCCGGATAGCATTCGGGAGGACAAACAGGTCATCCGTTTAATTATCATTAAGTCTTCCAATTATTAAACATTACTATCAGTATTTCCTTAAAAATATACAAGTAGCCAGACGAATGGAAACTAAAATAAATTAAAAATTTTTTAAAATTCGTTTTCATTGTTCTGGAATAATATTAGTTTAGGTGTATTTAACTGATTTACGAGAACAATCATGGTATTATGTTTGCATAGAGTGGGAGAATTTCAACAGACATAATGAAACGACCGGAACGGATTGTCGTTTGTTGCGCACTTTGGATCGATTTGGAAAAAGTGCGGATACAACAGTGGAAGATGTAGAGCTGATCGACATTACGGCAACTACAATGCAATTTAAAATTCGCTCCATTACGAATTTCCCTATGAGGTATACTTCTTTTCTTTATCCTTTTGAAAGTAATCTTTCCGAATATCATTAAACAAATTTTCATTTTTTTTTTCCGATCTCTTATTTACAGTCCATTTACATTTGGAATCTCATTATTATTAATTCCGTGAAATTGTCGCATTATTAAATATAGTTTTTACGCTTTGCTCCATTACTGACCAACTACGTGAATTAATAGTATTTCTTGATTGCTTATCGTACTTCGATAGTAGGTTGTCAGATTAATCCATAAGAAATGTCACCAAAAAGTGTCGGCTGATCGTTATCGATAATGTTTGGTCCTTGAGGATGCCGTCCGGTTATCATTCAGTAGTTTAGCATATAAAAGCGAAAAATAAGGGAATGGATCAATGTCGCATCTTCTTTTCATAAAGACTAATTCGGTGACAAATATTTTATTTTACCATGCTTTAGTCGAATAATAAATTAGACAACTTTTTTTATGTAAAATAAATTTTAGACTTCAATTCAGTAAATTTTTGGTCAATCAAATTTTACTATGACTAATATAACATTATTTCAAGCTATTTTTTTATGCCTACTAACAACTTAAAACTTTGAAAAATATGTACTTAAATTATTAAGAATTAGAGACTTTGAAATTTGAAAATGAATTTTATATTTAAACGCTTCGTTTTTTTAAATTCAAATTACGCTCTTATCAAATTTATTTCAATCATTAATGTATGAAATTTAAAGTTCGTTTACATTTGGTTTATGAAGTGAAATTTTAATGATAGTTGTTTATTTCAGAAGGTTAGTAGATGATTAAATTATGCAAGAAATTTATGAAAAATGATAGAGTAAAAGGAGTTCAATTTAAAATTCATAGAAATCAGAAGAAGTAAGCACACTGACGATCTAATTCTATTCTGCACATTAATTCTTAATCTTTCTTTTCCCACTGCTTTCTTTTTTTATGAAACAGAAAAATAAAATGGAGGAAATATTGGATGAGAAAATTCATTAAAAATTAACAAAGTATTTTCGAAACGAATCATTCATTAAAAAAGCTGAAGCATTTATCAGCAGAAAATGCCTTTATTGGACGAAAAGATAGTAGGCATCTATCACCTTTCATGATTCTTTATAAATTTCAAAGAAAGATTATAGCTTTGTAAAGGATCAATAAAATAGAAAGCCAAAAAAGTCCTCTCGTACAGATTTCCTTTTCCTAATTGTAAGCCATTTTTTCTTCCCTTTTGCAGCAAGCAGTAAAATATTATTTAAAACAGCATAAACTGACTATTATAATTTGTATTATAGAACGATCGCAACATTACAAGGTGGTAGCGTACCTCAAATAGGCTCACAAATATTTGAATTTCGTGAATCATCCGATCTCGACGTATTATTTACCTTTCTAAAACACGACACGGAATATGGAAAGTTATGTATTCGTGAAGAACCACTTACGCGAGGTTATACTTCTATGGGTCGTTACGTGTCCGGTATCAGCATCGAAAAATGTTACTTTGGTATGATTTGAAATTATATAAAATTAAGTTAATTAGATTTCAACATGATTTATTAACATTTTCTTAAAATTGTCACTCTTCATAAAATAAAAAAAAAAAAAATTATAAAATTTGCCTCAAAAAAAAAAAAAAAATTATAAAATTTGCCTCAAATTTTCATTTTTCTTTTACTGTCAATGTATTCTTTTTTTTTTTTCAATTTAGGAAAATTAAAAACGAAAGATTATGAGCTATCAACGTACGACATGGAAGCAAGTCCGTACAGATTTGCCACTTCTTCCGCTTCTACAATTTTCATTAGTTACCGTATCATTTCTTTCTATCTTTTTATTTCTGTATTTTTGATAAGAGTAAAATGCTGCTCATAATATTTCTATCTTTGTGTTTTGTACTACTTTACAGGCATTTTTTTTTTACCACTATCTTCTTGAAGTTTATAAATTTTTAATTGCCAAGATATTTTATTTAATGAATACACTTTCATCCTTTCATATCATTCAAATTGATCAACTACCTTGAATAGAGGTTATGCTGATAGTATTAATCTATAATGACTTCCGACAAATATTCAGATTTTATTCATTGATAGTGGAATATTCGTGGTCTGATGACAATAAACCAAATGACAGAATACATTCCTTCTAGGACAATAAGGTCTACTCCAGGTTCATTCCTACTGTAATCCTGAAAATAAGCAATTGCATAACTGATAGTATCGACTGTGAATAACAAGTTTTCTTTAGAAAAAAATTTCTTTAAACCTACCAATCATCAATATAACAGTTTTCAATGGCACTGATAAATTATCATATTGGAATTAGTCTTCATGTCACCTCTAAAAGAATACCAATTGTCATTAAATGATGAGAAGCCTTTCACATTTCCAAGCATTATCATCCAATCAGCATGCAGCATTTCACTTGCAAATTCATACCTATCACCTCTGTCACCCTGTTTGGTTCCGCTTGTGTCATTTATATAGCATAGTACTGATAAATTGGCATCATAATGTTAGGATCTTGATGCTATTCTGATAAAACGATGGTAGTAACTGATAAACACCTCGATTGGTAGTAACTGACAAACACCTCGATTGGTAGTAACTGATGAACACCTCGATTGTATCCTCTTGAAACAGGTATGCAAAGAGTGAAATACACAAGAGGTGCTTTCTTCCTTCAAGAATTATCGGCAATGACCGTGAAGGGATTAGTCTTTCGAGAACTATGTGACATCAACATCCATTCGGTAAACATTCATCAGTAAGTATTATTCAGTGTTTGTCCTCAAAATTTGTTAAATTGTTATTCTAATAAATTGAGGGAAATCAATAATTTGAAAATAAAATTTTATAGTAGTCATTTTTGCAAATTGTCATTTAACAAATTGAAGGAAAATTCAATTAATTTATACTTATTATGTTATGGTTTTTTCTTTTTTTTTTCTTTTTTTTGAAACATGTAAACACATTAAATATTAGACAATAAAATGGAAGTTTTTTTTTTTTTTACAATAACAATAAGTTCTAAAACTGCAAAAATTACATCCTTCTAAACTTAATAATATATTTAATCTTTCTGATTTGAATTTACTGACATCAATTGAATAGTTTCAGTTTTATTGAGATATTCTTGCTAAAACTTTCAAATAAATGAGTCACAAAATACATTAAACAAAAAGAAAAAAAAGGTGCGATATGTCGATGGTATAACAAATGTCTGTCTTGGGGATCGCTGTCTAAACGTTCAGCATAGTATTAAATAAAATGAAAAACTCTACTAATTATAAAATGTTATATACTGAATAGCTTGTTGTAATATTTTACAATAGCATTACATTAATTCAAGTTAATTATGAATGAATTTACGATTAAAAGCACCACAAAGCTTAAATTTTTGAAAAGTATGAGGAACTAAAAATGAAGTAGACTCGAACCACCTAATCAGTCCAAATCATTTACTGATAAATGAAGAATGAACATATCACCCCTAACTGCATATTTATGAATGAACTTTAAACAAAGCATAAATCAGAGACTGCCTTATCGAAAATGGTTAGCAATATTTTGGATGATAAGCGTTCAGCCTCACTTAATCTTAATCACAAATAACTGTTCAGAGTTAACATATACCCTTCACGGGAGTCACAAATAGCAGACTACAAGGATACAAAATGTTTTAAGACATTAACATAAAATCTATTGTTCGTCGCATTTGGAAGAATTGCTCACAGGTCTTTTGTCCTGATGATTTCTGAAAGTACCATTTTGGAATATTTTAAAATAGATGACATGACGCAAAAAGAGGAGATCAAAATATGTTTAAATGTATAAGATTTGGAACATTTCTTAAATGATTATAAAAAAATTCCCCATCCAATAACTTCTCCCTCTGCAGGCGATGACGTTCTATAAGACCACTTGTTATCAGTTTTTTAATTTCTCTTAATAAACTAGATTTGTCACACATGGATTCATATAAACATATCCACCGCTGATACCAAATTGTACCATAGAGATCAGCCTGTCCGGCTTTCGGGTTATATAACAAAAAATTAAATTCTTTTTTTTCTTTTCTTTTTTTTACAAATGGTCGAGTAGTAAGAAAATTAAATGTGGGAATTTAAAGGACTGTGTTGCAGTGAGCATGTCGAAATCGGTCACAGAATAGTTAATGTTGCCGTCAATTCACTGTTGAAAGTTGAACATTTGAGGTTCATGCTTTATAACCTTTTAGCTTTTAGCATCTTTTCATTTTTTTTTTCTTTCAATATATATATATATATATATATATATATATATACAGTTTAGAGCAGATTATAAAGCCGTATATCACATATGAATCCCAAATTCCAAGATCTGCTAAAACAATAATTAGAAACAAATTTGCAAAATCTGTAAGGCATTTCCACTAAAACGTCCGTTCCCACTAAAACGCGCAGAAATATTTTGCGGAAAACAATTCGATCAGTTCACTTCGCATTCTTGAACGGCTTTACTTAATTTAACCATACACTTATAATGTGTTTTACACATAAACTTATTCTGATCTCAGTTTTCCATACATTTCCTTTAACTTCTGATAAACAAGTCTGTCCTTTTCTGGGACAGATGGCCTTATCCTCTGGGCCGCGTTTTGGAAGTGTTTCATGGTAACTCGACGATATCCATCTGTGTTACTTCCAGATATGCTTTCTTGCATAGCTATAATACCCGCTTCATGCACAAGTGCTGCTATGTCTGCTCCTCTGGAATTCTAATAAACAATAAGCACAAATATATCACAATAATCGTTATATAATCATATATATATGGCAGTAAAGAATTCTAACATTTACATTTATTTACTGCCGAGTGCTTCCTTATCTTCTAGATAAACACAATAACAACAACTTCAAATCTTATGGCATTACCGGAAGCAAAAGTCTCACAAGATCTCATACCGTTAGTGAAAAAATCTCAGAGCTGAACAGTGCATAAAATCAAAGAAAACATTTTAAAACGTACGTAAACCACTCGAGAGCAGGGTCTGCAGCAATATTTTTGTAAGAAAAATCGTCGGACAGGTGAGGATGTTTTCCATTCTTCGTTATTTTGCAAAGGATGTCTTCTTTCTCTTTTGTATTTGGAAAATCAACAAAAAGTATTTTATCTAACCTTCCAGGACGTAAAATAGCTCCATCAACAATATCTGTAATATATAATCCATATCAGCCTAAGATATGATATACCATGGAAGACCTATGTAGCTATGATATCCACACTCAACAATTAGACCTAAAAATGACCTTGTGTGTGCGCCATACAACAACATTTCAACTGCTCAGTGCAAACATAACATTATGTAAATTTTGCAGTGTTATTAGGCAATGAAAATTGAATTGAATTTCACTTGCTAAACAACGATTCAGCTCATTAGTAAATTCAGTGGTAAATCCACCATTCTGATCCACTATCAGTATGGATTACATTCATAATTTTCAGGAAACAAGCTGCATACCCGGACGATTTGTTGCCCCTATCAGAAAGACTTCTTTCCGGCTTTCTATACCATCCATTTCCGTGAGCAGTTGGTTTACCAATCTTGAACTGCCACTTGTCTTGAGGAAAAAAAGTCATCAAAGGTAAGAACGAGTCACATCAAATTTCGCTATTATTTAAAATATAATACTTAAAAAAAAAAATGCTGTATAACTGAAAAATAAATTAAAGAAAGAAATGAACATACCTCACTGCTTGTTCGTTTTGGACAAAGTGCATCAATTTCGTCGAAGAAAATAACACACGGTGACGAATCTCTCGCCCTTTGAAAAACGGTACGCACTGCTCTTTCACTTTCTCCAACATACTGCATAACATATGTAACATTTAGGAGGAGCTTGACAGAGAGTACCAATACTATCAGAATTATAGTGTAAATAGCATATTATGATGCAAAAATGAATTAAACAGATACCATGCTTAGCAATTCAGGTCCTTTGATGCTGATGAAATTCATGCCACTTTCATTAGCGACAGCTTTAGCCAATAACGTCTTACCACAGCCCGGTGGTCCACATAGCAATATTCCCTGAGGTTTGCTTTCCATTCCAAATTCACGGAAAAGCTCGGGTTTTTGGATAGGAACCTATAAAACTTAGAATATTTCTGTCTAAGTAGCTAAATAACTGAATTACTAAGTAACCAGAAAGTAGACACTCCCGAAACTATCCTGAAACACTGTGAAATGCGAATTTTCTAATGCTTGCTGAATTTTTTCCTAATGCAAATGTGTAACTCCCGCAATGCCGATGAGGTGAAGAATAATTGCTATCTGAAGTATTTATGTTTCATTCACATACCAGTATGCTCCATTTAAGCTCTTCGCGAACAGTTTCAAGAGCACCAATATCATTCCACGTAATATCTGGAACAGTGGCAAATCCTTCACGTTTAGCCGATGGGTCCACCAATACCAGTGCTCTGTTGAAATCTTCCATCGTTATACGAATTTCCCGGAAATCATTATTATCCAATTGTTGTGATAATTGCAGCCAAGTAAGCACTGAAATAATTTTTAAATTCGAAAATCAGCAACAAATCAAATATAGCAAAAGATGAAAGCTAAGCAAAACTCCCTCTACAGCGAAGTATGTATCAAAGTATATCGAAGGATTATTTAAATAACCAACTGAAAATTCCTTTCACTTTTAATAATCGCTTTACATAACATAAATGTTTTGTCGACGACTAGATAACATTAACTTTTTATATTACAGCATTAAATTAAACTGAGTTTTGTAGAAATTACATGAATAGAAAAAGGAATTTTCAAACTCAAGGAATTAAAAGCGAGTCTTACTTTTTTCCAATTCTAACTGGATTTCTCCAATATTTTTCTCCCCATATTTACATATACCTGGTGTTCCAAATTTCCTTAAAAAGAATAGTAATATATAAAAATGATATATTTCTCAATTTCAAAAAAATGCATTCAAGAATCATGGAAATTATAACATTTTCAATAACAACATGCCCGTTTACTGCTCTTTTCACTGCACAGGATGCCGCTTGACTTGAAAGAGCTTTAAGATCAGCTCCCACATATCCTGGAGTAAGGCGTGCCAGTTCCTGTAGTATTACTCTCTCATCCAGCCGAAGATCTCTAAAAAGCAAGATGGAAATCACAGAAAACAAAAAATGAAAAGATGAAAAATAAAATCCTCCTGTGTGCCTATTACGATGACAATCACGGTTCGTAACATAATAATAAAAAAATGAATACTTGCAAACAATCTCTAATATTTTCGATCTGGCACGTTTATCTGGGATTCCCAATGCAATTTCTTTATCAAAACGACCAGCTCGTCGAAGAGCCGGGTCTATAGTTTCGACTCTACTTGTGGTACCTGTAATTGAAACACATGTGCTAGGTCAGTCCACTACAGCCTATCATTTACAAACAAAACTACGATACAGTTTAACAGCTGGATATTCACCTATTACGAGGACTCGATTTCCTTTATGCATCTTTCTAACTGAAATATCGATATCTATGCTGTTCGTGTTCAGTTCTACATCTTTCCTCGGATTTGACAGATCTAAAATATTGCATTGCGAAATAAAATTATTAAAGATGAACATACAAGTAAGCGACTGAGCTTGAACAGTTTATATAATTAAGCTAATGAGCTTTAAGTCGTTATTCACCATCAAGGCAAGCAATAAGCTGTGACACAATACGTCTCTCCATTTCACGTTGTGCGTTATCCCGTTTTGAAGCAATGGCATCGATATCATCCAAAAGTAAGATACACGGTGATGCTTCAATCGCTTTGGTAAATAATAACCGTATTTTCTGCTCGCTTTCACCGGATACTCCAGAAACTAATTCAGTCACTGCCACTTTTAAAATTGGTAGATTGAATTGCTAGAACATAGAAGATTCAAAAGAAAAAGACAAATAATGCCTACACTGCAATATTCAAGAGCCAAAAATAATTTAAAAGAAAAACAAACATAAAGTGCTAACCCCTGCAACAGCTTGAGCAAACAATGTTTTTCCGCATCCAGGAGGACCATGAAGCAAAAAGCCAGTAGGATGAGTAACTCCAAGCAGATCATCTATTTCTGGATGAAAAAGATGTATGACGAAACTGCAAACTTCCTAAAAATGGAAATGCCTAATTCAACTATTCTAATGAAAGGACAACACAATTTCATACAGGTCCGAAACAAGTTCTTACCAAACATTGTTGTTCGCAACCACCGATATCTGTGAACGTAACGTACGATGCACTAGGTTCTACGTTAATGTCTGCTTTATACAGCGACCCAAACGATGCATATGATTTTCGATGCTTCTTTTGCTGTAAACGCAAAGAAATAGACAAATTTCAAAGTAGGAATGGGAAAATAATAAAGATAATAATGTAAAATGAAGTCGAAAATTCTTACATTAGCTTCTGGTTTGTCGTTAGTAGGACTAATCCTCTTCATAGTTTTTGTCCTAAAAATCTGCTGAGCAATCAAGTGAGCAAAAAGCTGCGAGTAACTCTTTGGCCATTACTATTCTTTTTTCTCCGCAAAATATTGATTACGACAAGTGATAAAGACTCGGTAGATGAAATTTACTAAATGTCCTTTGGCAAAGAATTATTAGTTTGAGATCATCTATCTGTCTTATGAAGATGGGAGAAAATGAGATGGCTGACGATACCAACATTAGCTTCCGCTTTCGTTCTATTGTTGACATGTCATTCGATTCATTTGTTAGATCGATCACGCCATCCACCACGTTAGCATTCTTTATCTTTCCAAGCCCAATTTCTACTGACTTCAAGAAATCGCGAAATTTCCGTCGTGCATATTCTCTAAATCAATTGCTTTCGATAACAACAAAGATTCTAGCAATAGGTAATTTAAATTTAAAGATGATGAAATTAAAGTGAACCAACGGATAAGTCTGCTGAAGATAATGGGCAACATCCTCTGCATCACATGCTTCGTTTGCTTGCCAAACCTATAACAACTTCTTATATATCATTAACATTTACTATTTGCTATGAGGTAATATAGTATGCAATAAATGACACAAAAACAGAAAAAAGTGCTACAAAATTTAAAACCTACGTCACGAATGCGTGGTACGAGACGCGGATCGGATCGGAAACCGGAGCTGGCTTTCCTGGCTTGCATCATAGCGCCTGCAACAGTATTCAAGCACGCCTTCAATGAATCCTTCAGGTGACTTATAAAAGCAACCCCTCACCTTGTCACTCACATGTAAGGACCAAAGCCCACATCCCCCTCACAAATAATCCTCCATGCTTCAAACTATGCAGACAATGTCAAAGTTATTCAGCGAAACAGTCATCGGCTGGTTTCTGCTGATTTGGTTTCCTATTTAAATGGAGATTGTTCCCGAGAGGGATATGAGGCCAAAGGAAGAGCCTTGAGCCTAAAAGGCCTGAAATCTCCAATTGCTTATTTATTTTTCTCTTCGCTTCATGCATTGCATTTGCATGGCTTGAAATAATAACATGCTTATTACGTTGAAATTGGACCTAATTTAAAAGCAGGTTCCAGCGTGGTTTTGCAGAATGTTTATATCTCAGTTAAAATTATTATCTTTCGTCCGGAACGGATATTTATTGCATCCCTTTCGATATATGTAATTAAATACGAGTAAGTATTATTATTTTTTTTTTATTTTTTGAACTTTTTCATTATTGATTGAAGCTTTTCCCGTGTGTCAGAATGCTTTTGTGTACTTATTTCCTTAATTATGCAGAGTGATGTTGAATAGGAAGATGTTTTGTTGCTTTTGTATTCACTTAACTGTCATCGTTTCTGCTACCACTCGTCTTCCTTAGCCATCACATCACATTTAATTTATGGTATATTTAAAGGGAGTAATATTCAGATGCAAGATAGGAATCTTGGAGAGATCGGAATGAAAATCTTACGACTTTCTAAGAAGGGAAGTAACTAAGCTTTTAACTAGTTCGGAAATGGTGAGCAATGATTATTTCCTGAGTTTGAAAATGTTATCTGCCAGCGGATTGATAACATAACATGAAAACAGAGGCTTTGGATATAATAGCATTTGCCCTTGCGTTGACATCGTAATTAAAATATTCCTAAAAGAAAGAATTCAAAGCATCACAACACAAGTTAATGAACGACTTCAATCAAGTTAAGAAGTCATGATTTGAGTGAAAATTTTATGGCATATAACAAGTAATGATAATAAACTATAAACAAACACATGCTGAAAATAGCTCCTTTGCTGTACATGTGAAAGAAATTCAGTTTGTGCGAGAAATTTAGGATAACTTTTCAGAAGAATATAGCATGATTGTTTCAATGAATGCAGATATCTTTTGCACGACAGAACAACCCGTACCCTTACGAATTAATGCTATTTCGTCTTTCAAAACAAAAATTAGTAGTTTTATTTCCGATGAATGCGGTATCGCACTGAAATTCCTTTTTAAAATGATGCTTGCATATGCACTCAAGCATAGGCAAAAGTCCGACAATACTTCCCTACTGGAATATTTATTCCTGTATCAGTGTATTAGATTCGGTAATCCATTACTCATTTATATTATATAGGATGCCTAATTAAACTGAATATGTTTAAAACAAAAAATATATTCCAACTTACAATCAATCATTTCAGAATTTCTGGTAACCCAAAACGAATGTGGTCTATTCAAGATGATATGGAAGCCAAAAATTTCATAACGGACATAGTTTCAGTATGAGGTGGTATGGAACAAAAGGATTATATGACAATTCCAATCCCGATCTTTTGATCCCCAAAAATTCAAAGGATGGAGAGAATGGAAGTTCACCTGCACCACCTCCAACATTCGTTATTTTTTTTATTCCGACATACCGAATATGTATTGCAAACGAGTGATTAAGTGGCAGCAACTTCATTTGTAAAAAGATCAATGTAGTACAATCAATAAATACAAGTATAAGGTAATAAAGTAGTGAAAAACAATTATATTTTCTTTCGAGATCCTTTACCGACATGTTGAATATGTATTGCAAATGATGAGTTATTAAGCGGCAGTAAATATAGGTATAAATAAAGTCAATAAATACAAGTATAAATAAAGTAGTGCAACAGTGGAAAAATATAGTACTTTCTTTTTTTTTTTTTTTGTTTTTTCATCTATAAAAGTGGCAGCATTACTTGAATTTATCGATGTTTATATATGATCTTGATTGTATTTTTTATTGTTTTTGGATATGTGCGCAAAATTTGCACATAATTCACTACTGTTTATTGTTTGATGCTTATATATATATATATTTTCTTTTTCACGTGTACAATCGGGAACTGTACTATATTTTTCCACTGTTGCACTACTTTATTTATACTTGTATTTATTGACTTTAATTATACTTATATTTACTGCCGCTTAATAACTCATCATTTGCAATACATATTCAACATGTCGGTAAAGGATCTCGAAAGAAAATATAATTGTTTTTCACTACTTTATTACCTTATACTTGTATTTATTGATTGTATTACATTGATCTTTTTACAAATGAAGTTGCTGCCACTTAATCACTCGTTTGCAATACATATTCGGTATGTCGGAATAAAAAAAATAGCGAATGTTGGAGGTGGTGCAGGGGAACTTTCATTCTCTCCATCCTTTGAGTTTTTGGAGATCAAAAGATCGGGATTGGAATTGTCATATAATCCTTTTGTTCCATACCACCTCATACTGAAACTACGTCCAGTATGCAACGGAATCTATAAAAGATTTAGACTTTGATATCTATAGGAAACCTTTCAGAGAATCATACCACTTATTATTTTACAAATTGCAATTTGTTTTTTCATTATTCAAACATCATGTTCGCTATGATACAGTCGATGATATCTAATACTTATTAGAAATGTTTGTAACCTCAAATCTAACAGATCTCTCCTGATTCAATTGCAAATTATCACGCAGAAGTAATCATATTTCGACAAAAAAAAAAACAATGGTTTAATGTGATCATTGTGTGTGACAATCAGAGAAAATTTCTCGGAAATTATTTCGTACAACAGACTGAAGTAATTTGTGGTAGAGTGTAACATTTATTGGAGAAGAAATCACAATTCTCACTGTTTTCTACGATTGTTGTTCCTTGAGACTTTTCTTTTCCTGTCAATCGGAATAGCTTACTGAATACCAGTCCCGGAATGGCATCAGAACTGCTTCTTTAATCTGATCAAATTATTGTGCATTTTCAACATTGTGGAGAAAGGGAAAGAGGGAAAATTTTTGATGCGGAAGGACATACAATTCACCTCCATTCTTAGCTTCTTTTACTGTTTGCTTCTTTCATCTATTGATTTAACTAAGATCAAAAGAGTTATTTACTGGGAAAAATGATTCTGTTTCTTTTCGATATTAATAATTCAAATTTTAATATGAATTAAACTAACATCCACCAGAGCTGTTCTAATGCAATAATTAAACCCATTAATATTTCTCTTTCAAAGAGAACATTTTGCAATTCTCTTAAAGATGAACTACAACAGCAAGGATCTTTCTTAGTTGTCGAAATATGATTACTTCTGCGTGATAATTTGCAATTGAATCAGGAGAGATCTGTTAGATTTGAGGTAACAAACATTTCTAATAAGTATTAGATATCATCAGTGACTGTATCGTAGTGAACATGATGTTTGAATAATGAAAAAACAAATTGCAATTTGTAAAATATTACAAAATAATAAGTGGTATGATGCTCTGAAAGGTTTCCTATAAATAGTATTCTATAGATATCTAAATCTTTATAAAGTCTAAATCTTTTATAGATTCCGTTGCATACTGGACGTAGTTTCAGTATGAGGTGGTATGGAACATGAGGATTATATGACAATTCCAATCCCGATCTTTTGATCCCCAAAAATTGGAGAGAATGAAAGTTCCCCTGCACCACCTCCAACATTCGCTATTTTTTTTATTCCGATATACCGAATATATGTATTGCAAACGAGTGATTAAATGGCAGCAACTTCATTTGTAAAAAGATCAATGTAGTACAATCAATAAATACAAGTATAAGGTAATAAAGTAGTGAAAAACAATTATATTTTCTTTCGAGATCCTTTACCGACATGTTGAATATGTATTGCAAATGATGAGTCATTAAGCGGCAGTAAATATAGGTATAAATAAAGTCAATAAATACAAGTATAAATAAAGTAGTGCAACAGTGGAAAAATATAGTACAGTTCCCGATTGTACACGTGAAAAAAAAAATAATAAACAACAAACAATAAATAGTAGTGAATTATGTGCAAATTTTGCGCACATATCCAAAAACAATAAAAAATACAATCAAGATCATATATAAACATCGATAAATTCAAGTAATGCTGCCACTTTTATAGATAAAAAAAAAAAAAAAAAGAAACAAAGAAAGAAAGAAAGGAATTGAGAGATTATTGAAAAAATTTGTTTGATAAGTCGAATATTCATCCCTACTGTATAAAATTTGATTTGTTGACTGACTGTAGCATTAAAAATTGAGATTCCATAGAAAAAAGTTAATCACGAATATCAGCGACTTATGTTTGATGAGGTGGATATTCATCATTGTTGTGTAAAACATAACTTCTTGACTGACTGTACCATTCATTCCAAACAGACCAGATTGACATCTAAGAACAACAATGTTCAAAGGAAAGAACAAAGTTCATAGAAAACGGAAGTGAAGTTTACGTAAGGTCATCATAACGAACAAGAGAAAATCCTCACCTGTTCATGAGTTCGTGGGAATGAAGAATATGCAGTTGCTTGTGCAACAGATGGATAAACAACTGGTTGTTGACCATAAAACATACCAGAGCCATATTGTGTATTTACAGTGGACCGATCCTGCTACAATATATATACATATTTAATGTATAAATTTCCTTCGTTTGAAAAAAAAAAAAACAATGAAATTAATTGTTTCTGTAATGTCACATTTATTTCAAAGATTAAATCGCTAAATATATGAAATAAAAATGATTAAGTGTATGAAAAAATAAAAGTATGACGAAGTAATAGTTGAGAATTGAAATTTCAGACAATATAAGCATATTTATTTACAGTAGATGAAAAACATACCAGCATTTGATAATAACCAGACATCGGAATACCGTATCCACTTGGTTGTTCAATGTTTCCACTTGCACCGTATATCGTTCCTGCTTGATTATATAGCATCGTCTGGAAAACGGAAATGAATGGAAAATATTATAATACAAATATAATATGTTGCAATTTTTCAATACTACTACACGTAATGTAGACTTAGCAATAAAAATATGGCATGGCGAGAGCTCTAGTAATGCACAAAATAACAATAACTACCAGAAAAGAAAAAATTACAATAGCTTACAATAGTTACCTGTGCAACTGATGCTACATAATAAACTGGCATCGAATAATAATTATATCCACTCATCGCCGCATTTCCTCCAATTGAATCACTCGTTGTTGCTGCTGGCGTAGTCTAAAATATTTCACGTACGAGATCCATCAGGTAAGAGGTAAAACAAAATGTAAGGTGACTTTTCCATAATCTTAGTAATGCATGAAATAATAATAGCTAGCAAGACTTACCTGTGTAACTGATGTTGTATAATAAGCTGGCATCGAATAATAATTATATCCACTCATCGCCACATTTCCTCCAATTGAACCACTCGTTGTTGCTGTTGCTGCTGTCATTGACGTAGTCTAAAATATTTCACGTACAAGATCCATCAGGTAAGAGGTAAAATAAAATGTAAGGTGACTTTTCCACAACCTTAGTAATGCATGAAATAATAATAGCTAGCAAGACTTACCTGTGTAACTGATGTTGTATAATAAGCTGGCATCGAATAATAATTATATCCACTCATCGCCACATTTCCTCCAATTGAACCACTCGTTGTTGCTGTTGCTGCTGTCATTGACGTAGTCTAAAATATTTCACGTACAAGATCCATCTGTGTTTTAGGTAAGAGATGATATAACAAAATTTATCGTTGATTTTTTCATTACTAGATAAAGAAGCTTTACTAAATAAAAACTTAATAATGCATTGATTACATAAAAGAACCAACTTGCTGAAATTGCCCACTATAACAAGCTGGCATGACAATACCATCTCCACTTCTTTGTACAAATGGGAAATTTCGTGATTGTGATGGCTTAACATGCACAATTGACGGTCGACTCTAAAATTGATAATGTTCATCAATTTGTCATCGTGAAATTTTATTCTTCACATTAAACTGTTTAATATTTGCAGAAATTGACAGAAATTAAGTGTTCAATTAATGAAGTATGAGTAACTAATTATTTAGCTTAAAACAATATAAAATGTTTACCTGAATAGCTAAGGTAATTTGATCGATTGAAGTGAAACTTTGACGATGCGATGAATTTACGATAGGTGCGGATAAAATCGGTAGTGGTGCATCGCTAGTTCGAATTCCATTCAGTATTGGACAAGACTGATTATTAATTAAATTGTGTGGTACAAATGGCGGTGCATCCAAATTCCAAATGAATTCTTCCCTGAAATTCTTTTATTGTTAATATGTTAATAATTATTGATTGTAAATGTTAAATTGATCATCCTTCATTTGCAGCAAATAATTTGCAAGGAACAAATTATAATATATTCTTGCCTGTTTAATGCATTATTTGCTGCTACACTTGCTACTATCTGATCCGGCGCAGATGATTGCTCCGTTTGTTCACTTTCAAATGCTACGGAAGTGGTAGTTGTAGTTTGTGTAATTCCTGATTGTGATAAAACTACAGCTGTTGCTGCTTCTGTTTCGGATAATATCGTGTTCGATTCAGCAAGAGTGGATGTTGTCAACGTATCATTATCATTATCATTCTCTGATCTATCCGGAGACGTTGAATCTAAAAGAATGATTATTACGTTTCAATATGATTTCCACTGGAACACAACCGTTAATAATTGATTTATTAATTATTGATACCTGCCGATTCGCGACTCACTTCCTCAGCAGTTTGTGTATTGCCTAATATTATAGTCATTTCATTTTCCACGTCAATATTCCTCAGTGACATCCAAAAGTCTTCTAAATAAGTTAACGGTGTTTTTATTGCTATTTCAGATGACTGTCAAACGATTCGTTATAAATTTATTTAATCATAAGCAAGAGAAAATAATATTGTAAATTGCAAAAAATCATTCATTACTATTATAAATAAAAAATACCTAATGGTTTAAAATTAAATACTTCGGCAACCGCTCTTTCTAATCGATCATCCAACCATGGTATCCAGGATTCTGAATCAGCTAGTGGTACTTCTGCGTTTTGCTCAGTGTCTTCCTTAGAATACCCTGAAAATTTATTATTTAATCATAAACAAGGAAAAAGTTGTAAATAAAAACTTTACAACAAACAAACCTGGAGAGTCCTTGTGATTCCTTTGAGCCAATAAAAGCCCACGTTCATAACCAATTGGTTTAGGTAACTTTTTAAGTTTAGATGATATTTCCGTTTCTTGCATTTCAACCACTTTGAAATTTCCTATTTCTTCCATGGCTTATCTATCTAAATAATATATTTACAGTTTTCATTGTTTTTATTTAAATATAAAAAAGCACTTTCATTTCCCGAAGAAATTACAACATATAGTTACAACACAATTACAACAAATAAAGATTTCAAAAATGCCGGCAATGGGGTTAAAGGTGAACTAATTATTTAAATTACTATACTAATTAAAGGTCAAGAAAAAATAACTAATATTTAATTTTGAAGAATTCAGTTTTTTACTGCTTCATATGAAATATATGCAAGACAAAAGAGTGAAAATACGAAAATGTGTAGTTGAAATATTTGCTTCGAAATAAGGATGGAATGAATGCATTAAGTATGAAATGATATGACGTATTGTCGAACATTGCAAAGGATACTTTAGTCATCTAATCGTTAATTAAGCATTATCCCTGTTTGACCTTTACAGTGATGGAGTATATGGATGGTCGTTGAGAAATTACTAATTGTGAATATGCAGATGAAAAATTTAATTTGACAATGGAAAATATACGAAAGAAAGTGATAGATTTAGTTCTTATCTACACTAAATAAATTCACCAGGGTGCAAGAAAATGAACCAAAAAAAGCAATTCGATGAGTTAATTGAAATAAACGGAAGTGTGAATAGAATTAATAGAATTGTTACACAATTGTCATTAAAAGAATCCATCCTAATACTTACTGATGATAAGAAATTATTTATTGAAAGGAAAAGTGTGCAAATAATAGAATAGGTATGATCCTTTTTGAAGCATTGTAATGAGAAATATGTGAAAATGAAAATTCCTACATCATTCTCACATTTGCAGGAAGGAAGATAATCCGAGGCATCTAATTATGCTTCTATAAAAGATATACTTTACAAGCAATAATCCCAATATTAGCCAATCGTAGCTTTTGAGAAAGAATTTTCTCATTCAAATTGTTAATTGACTAGAAAATGAAATATAATAAATTTCTGAAATTTCTTTCAGTTTCATTTCCCTACAGTATGCCATGCCTATTCATAGGGCAGATTTGATTGGCTGAAGAAAGTTAGAAATAAAAATTTTAATTTTTCATCCCGCAAAACCTCATCATCCTTACACAGCAGTTTTACTTCAACCTTTAAACGAAAGAATTGTAGAATGCGACCATACCTGTAAAAAAGAGAACAAAAATCGATGCCGATAGGTATTTTGAACACGAGATCCCGCCCACTTGAGATAGTCGAGAGAGAAAAAAACCTTAACCGCAAACAATTTTCAAATGAGATGTGCAATATAAATCCCATTTTTAAATCGTTTCATAAAACAAATATATTGTTGAGTTAAAATATGAACATGGAAATGCTGTATGAATTCAAATTCAGTCTAGAAACTAAAAATAAAATTAAAATAATCAAAATAATTTTGAATCTGAAATCTAAATTTTGAAAATAAAGTTAAAATTAAAAAAAGGAAAATAAAATAATCTTATTGCCAATTTCGCATTAGAAAACATTATGGATTTCTATTGAATTTCAGGAGAATGTAAAAAAAATACAATTTGTCGTTTTCATTCTTACTGATATTTTGCTTTGAGACCTTTAACCCCAAGAAATGTAAAAAGCTTTTTAAATTTTGATGAGTTCAAAGTGAATTGTAGTGCGATTTTAATAAGATCGGCGTTACAAAAGTGTAAATAAAATATATGTAATGAGCAAATAAAAATATTATACTAATTTGCAAGAATTAATTTGAAATTAATTTAATCACCAAATATTCACTTTCGCAATAATAAAACTTCGACAAAGTGAATGGAACATTATGTTCAAATGTAAATACTTATTCAGTTTTTTATTACATATCAATTTTAATTAACTTATCAGTTTTCACTTCTGGAAGATTTGTAGTCGGTTCAATTCTTAATTCTTCATTTGACCTCCCTAAGAGGTCATAGAGCAGTAGAGATCATAGAGTTTTTTTTATCCGCACCTATCGTAAATTCATCGCATCGTCAAAGTTTCACTTCAATCGATCAAATTACCTTAGCTATTCAGGTAAACATTTTATATTGTTTTAAGCTAAATAATTAGTTACTCATACTTCATTAATTGAACACTTAATTTCTGTCAATTTCTGCAAATATTAAACAGTTTAATGTGAAGAATAAAATTTCACGGTGACAAATTGATGAACATTATCAATTTTAGAGTCGACCGTCAATTGTGCATGCTAAGCCATCACAATCACGAAATTTTCCATTTGTACAAAGAAGTGGAGATGGTATTGTCATGCCAGCTTGTTATAGTGGGCAATTTCAGCAAGTTGGTTCTTTTATGTAATCAATGCATTATCAAGTTTTTATCTAGTAAAGCTTCTTTATCTAGTAATGAAAAAATCAACGATAAATTTTGTTATATCATACGATAAATTTTGTTATATCATCTCATACCTAAAACACAGATGGATCTTGTACGTGAAATATTTTAGATTACGCCAATAGCAGCAGCAGCAGCAACAACGAGTGGTTCAATTAGAGGAAATGTGGCGATGAGTGGATATAATTATTATTCGATGCCAGCTTATTATACAACATCAGTTACACAGGTAAGTCTTGCTAGCTATTATTATTTCATGCATTACTAAGGTTGTGGAAAAGTCACCTTACATTTTGTTTTACCTCTTACCTGATGGATCTCGTACGTGAAATATTTTAGACTACGCCAGCAGCAACAACGAGTGGTTCAATTGAGGAAATGCGGCGATGAGTGGATATAATTATTATTCGATGCCAGCTTATTATACAACATCAGTTACACAGGTAAGTCTTGCTAGCTATTATTATTTCATGCATTATTAAGGTTGGAAAAGTCACTTACATTTTATTTTACCTCTTACCTGATGGATCTCGTACGTGAAATATTTTAGACTACGCCAGCAGCAACAACGAGTGGTTCAATTGGAGGAAATGCGGCGATGAGTGGATATAATTATTATTCGATGACAGCTTATTATACAACATCAGTTACACAGGTAAGTCTTGCTAGCTATTATTATTTCATGCATTACTAAGGTTGTGGAAAAGTCACCTTACATTTTGTTTTACCTCTTACCTGATGGATCTCGTACGTGAAATATTTTAGACTACGCCAACGGCAGCAGCAACAACGAGTGATTCAATTGGAGGAAATGCGGCGATGAATGGATATAATTATTATTTGATGCCAGTTTATTGTGTAGCATCAGTTGCACAGGTAACTATTGTAAGCTATTGTAATTTTTTCTTTTTTGATAGTTATTGTTATTTTGTGTATTACTAGAGTTCTCGCCATGCCATATTTTTATTGCTAAGTCTACATTACGTGTAGTAGTATTGAAAAATTGCAACATATTATATTTGTATTATAATATTTTCTATTCATTTCCATTTTCCAGACGACGCTATATAATCAAGCAGGAACGATATACGGTGCAAGTGGAAACATTGGACAACCAAGTGGATACGGTATTCCGATGTCTGGTTATTATCAAATGCCGGTATGTTTTTCATCTACTGTAAATAAATATGCTTATATTGTCTGAAATTTCAATTCTCAACTATTACTTCGTCATACTTTTATTTTTTCATATATTTTATCATTTTTATTTCATATATTTAGCAATTTAATTCATATATTTAGCAATTTAATCTTTGAAATGAATGTGACATTACAGAAACAATTAATTTCATTTATTTTTTTTCAAACGAAAGAAATTTATACTTTAAATATGTATATATATATTGTAGCAGAATCCGTCCACTGTAAATAGACAATATGGCTCTGGTATGTTTTATGGTCAACAACCAGTTGTTTATCCATCAGTTGCACAAGCAACTGCATATTCTTCATTCCCACGAACTCATGAACAGGTGAGGATTTTCTCTTGTTCGTTATGATGACCTTACGTAAACTTCACTTCTGTTTTCTATGAACTTTGTTCTTTCCTTTGAACTTTGTTGTTCTTAGATGTCAATCTGGTCTGTTTGGAATGAATGGTAAAGTCAGTCAAGAAGTTATGTTTTACACAACAATGATGAATATCCACCTCATCAAACATAAGTCGCTGATATTTGCGATTAACTTTTTTCTATGGAATCTCAATTTTTAATGCTACAGTCAGTCAACAAATCAAATTTTATACAGTAGGGATGAATATTCGACTTATCAAACAAATTTTTTCAATAATCTCTCAATTCCTTTCTTTCTTTCTTTGTTTCTTTTTTTTTTTTTTTTTTTTTATCTATAAAAGTGGCAGCATTACTTGAATTTATCGATGTTTATATATGATCTTGATTGTATTTTTTATTGTTTCTAGATATGTGCGCAAAATTTGCACATAATTCACTACCATTTATTGTTTGTTGTTTATTTTTTTTTTCACGTGTACAATCGGGAACTGTACTATATTTTTCCACTGTTGCACTACTTTATTTATACTTGTATTTATTGACTTTATTTATACTTATATTTACTGCCGCTTAATAACTCATCATTTGCAATACATATTCAACATGTCGGTAAAGGATCTCGAAAGAAAATATAATTGTTTTTCACTACTTTATTACCTTATACTTGTATTTATTGATTGTACTACATTGATCTTTTTACAAATGAAGTTGCTGCCACTTAATCACTCGTTTGCAATACATATATTCGGTATATCGGAATAAAAAAAATAGCGAATGTTGGAGGTGGTGCAGGGAAACTTTCATTCTCTCCATCCTTTGAATTTTTGGGGATCAAAAGATCGGGATTGGAATTGTCATATAATCCTCATGTTCCATACCACCTCATACTGAAACTACGTCCAGTATGCAATGGAATCTATAAAAGATTTAGACTTTATAAAAGATTTAGATATCTATAGAAATACTATTTATAGGAAACCTTTCAGAGCATCATACCACTTATTATTTTGTAATATTTTACAAATTGCAATTTGTTTTTTCATTATTCAAACATCATGTTCACCACGATACAGTCACTGATGATATCTAATACTTATTAGAAATGTTTGTTACTTCAAATCTAACTGATCTCTCCTGATTCAATTGCAAATTATCACGCAGAAGTAATCATATTTCGACAACTAAGAAAGATCCTTGTTGTTGTAGTTCATCTTTAAGAGAATTGCAAAATGTTCTCTTTGAAAGAGAAGTATTAATGGGTTTGATTATTGCATTAGAACAGCTCTGATGGATGTTAGTTTAATTCATATTAAAATTTGAATTATTAATATCGAAAAGAAACAGAATCATTTTTCCCAGTAAATAACTCTTTTGATCTTAGTTAAATCAATAGATGAAAGAAGCAAACAGTAGAAGAAGTTAAGAATGGTGGTGAATTGTATGTCCTTCCGCATCAAAAATTTTCCCTCTCTCTCCTTTCCCCCTAGAGGAAATGTTTGTTGCACGGATGACAATCTCTCAAATCCACAAAAATACTTTATTAATGCATATCGATCGATTGGCAAATGCCATGATGAAACCAATTTAGAAAAATTAAATACATTTTCTGTGCATAACAGCTAAAATCTGAGGAAATAAAAAACGGTGGTGCAAAGCAATGGAACTAGTCTGTAACGGATGCGATGCGTTTTACTGCGACAGGGTCTAACGGATGGCCTATGCGTGACATTTTGTCCAATGTCTCCAATAGTCATTCGATCATAATAAGTAGTCAAAAGGTCTAGGACAACACCATTTGTCCATCCAAAACCATCCTAGAAAAAAGAATAAAACTGATTGTGATGAAGTGATAAACTGATCGAAATAAGTGCATAAATATTTCATCGAAATAAAATGAATTTCATAAGTGGAATACCTGTACGTCATACTCGCCACCAGCTCCTGGCTTGGGAATTGTCCCAGTAACATCAATCTAAACAAACAGAAATGAGTGTTAAGATGAACTAATTGTCAAGTTTCACTTGTGGATAAGATATCCAGTCTCTACTGAGATCAATAATTGTTACTGGCACTGATGAAAAATGAATGGAGAGGTGGATAGTAGTACGCAAAAGTTGTTATAAAATGAACTTCTCGAAAAGATCAGTAGTTGAGTCTAAGCTAAAAATTAGGCCTATTAACTTTGTTTATGCGTAATTATGACTCGAAATGCCAAGACAAACTTTTTCCCACATTTTTTTGGTTGTATTATATATCTTGTAATTGGCTAATATCCATTTTCGTGCCAATTTGAATGCCTGTAAGAGTCTTATAATGAACCATTATTGATTTCAGAGCTTTTAAAATGCTCAACAAAATTTGAAAAGAATATATCGGCGATTTTGGATTGTTACACAAATGATTATTCCATGTTAATTTACCATTTCCTGAGCTTCGGGATTGTCGGATTTCCGCATCCCTTCAATGATTATGTGTTGCAAGGGAGGCCAACCGTTCGGCAAGTCCCATTGCTGTCCGGTATTCTTTAGGCTTGCCGGTATACCACTTGGATAATTGAAAACATTTGATTCCTACAATAAGCTGCTAATGAATGCAAAGTGTCAGAGATAATAGCAGGAAAAGTTCGAATTTAAAACAAAATTTCTGTTATTTCGATTGATATAGCACTTCATTGATCATTCATCAAATTCCACACCAGTTTTGTTGGCGCAATTGTCTTACAATGTATATTTGACAATTCTATGAAACTTACATTCATAAAGTCAATAACTTTTGTCGATTTACCGTAATCCAACATTGTATAACAGCCCGTGAATAGAGGCATTGCAACGGTTGGGTAGAACAAGGTATTATGTGATTTGATGCGGAAATTGTAGTCGAACCAAGCCTTTTTCAATTTATTGTAAAATATGGCATTTAAGGCTTTCCAAGCTTCTTGTCCTTTCTTCTCAAATTCCTCTGCCTTCTGTGTATTACCTGTTGTAATTGATATTATTACTTGCACTGCTGCAAGTGCAAGGAAGCAATGGGAAATATACCGATGATATTAGCAAAGTATTTGAGAATATTGACATTCCAACAGAGCAGTGAATTCAGATCGACCGGTAAAATATTAGTTGTTTCAATGGTTTTCATTGTATTTCTATCTCTGAACCACCGCGACGAAAAGTCCCAACCGGATTCCGCCGCTGATGCAATATCCTGCAAAATAGCTCTGCTATCAATTGTCGCCACTACTCACTCACACACTATTTACAACACTATTTCGTCTCTGTTAGCGTTCAATGAGAATTTCACCTGAAAATAACAAAAATAGTTTCGTAACACTCTGCAAGCGATCGATTATAGTGCTTCGTTCAGGATATTCCTTTATTCTATTTTATTATATGAATATTAATACCTGAAAGAATTTCTGCCTGTCGTTTTTCCCAACTTCTACTGCAGCTCGAATATCAGCTCGGAATGATTCCGGACGAGGTACATTTGAAATAGTATGATACTGATATATTTTGTGTTTATATCCCTTCTCATCTATCACTGATACTGACCTGACCTTACATTTTCCATTTATTTTTTATACTTCTTCTATCGCTCAACTTTTCAGAATCAATTGATATTCGAAAACGACATATTGGCACTGCATCAGAGATCATAGATCAATGTAAGTTGCATTACCTGCACACCAGTTGATCGTTCCCATGAGAATTGAGAGAAAAGTTTGGTTTAAAAGTCTCTGAGAAGTAATAAATCTTGAGTACATTCATCCACTGATCATATTTACCTGTTTTGAACCCAAAATTCATATTCTTTTACAAGGTGATTGAAATTTTCCTTTATGAATTCAATATCTCCCGTGGCTTCGTAATATTCGTACATCATTGGGGTGAGAAATGGTGGTTGTGAACGTCTCAAATAATAGATACGTCCACCGTTCGGTACAAATCCAAACCTAAAAGGAAAGACTATTCTGAAAATGCACAATAATTTGATTAGATTAAAGAAGCAGTTCTGAAGCCATGCCAGGACTGATATTCAGTAAGCTATTCCGGTTGATAGGAAAAGAAAAGTCTCAAGGAACAACAATTGTAGAAAACAGTGAGAATTATGATTTCTTCTCCAATAAATGCTACACTCTACCACAAATTACTTCAGTCTGCTGTACGAAATAATTTCCGAGAAATTTTCTCTGATTGGTCACACACAATGATCACATTAAACCATTGTTTCTTTTTTTTTTTTTTTTTTTTCATTCGCTAAAAGATCTACCACAGTTTGTTTCTGATCTAAGCTACTTTTTATATGTTAACAATCCTGTTTTTTTGATGTCTATTTTAGATCAGAAATTATTATTATTATTATTATAGTTGCTGTTGTTGTCAGAATATAGTTGCTGTTGTTGTCAGAATTAGATTTGTATTTGGTGGAGGTTTCGCCTATGAAATAAATATTAATGATGAAACATAGGTCATTATTAATTTGTTAATTCGAAGCAACAAAAACTCATTTTTTGACACAATGGATGAAGTTCTTCAGCATATTCCTGACCATTACGAGTAGGTCACTTGCAATTAAACCTTTCACAATCCAATATGCGTCCCAATAATAAAATTCCCTGAATCGACCACCTGGGACAATGAATGGATGGGGTACTTCGATCAGAGAATTCTGTTTAGGATTCTCGATTCTAGTCATCTTAAAATATATAAATTGATCTTTCACCTTTGATCTCAAATAAGTTTGACCCCAACTAATTAGTTCCTTAAAGAACAAATAATGTTTCGTTTCTTACTTGTCTGCATAGATCTTTCCATCTTTGATTCAAAAATAGTGCAAAACGTTTCAGGTTTTCATCCTTTATCCTAGCAATTTTCGGTGGTAATTCCTTCCATTCCGGAATAACGCAACCCTTCAATTCCGTGCCTGGCTCACCAAAAAAGCGATTTCGAAAATTTATAAGCTTCTGCACACTAATATTTGCTATCTTTGTCTTTCCGAATTCCTTTTTAAATTCTTGTAAAACCACGTCTGAAACCCGTGAAGTGCATAATCATCATTTAAACGTAGAGTCGCCACCTCCGGCAAAAATATGGAAGTGACACCACTTGTTACGAAGATCTGATGAATACATTTTTGCCGTATCTTACAAGGCGTTCACTTTTTTTTTTCTGATTTAAAATACCAAATAAATTCTTGAAAATCTGAAACTTTGTTTCTACCGGGATCGGCTTTCAACGGTCTGTCGACGAATGTTTTTGAATCCATTTCCACCTGATGCAAATTCATTGCGGTGAGTATAGGACCACTGCAGTATATGTTCCTGCAATTTGAGAAGGAAGTTGGATTTGACTTGGCATTTGGCAGGTTTTGCAATTAGCACTAGGCCAAGCTGAAGTCGGCACATTCTTGGACTATTAGAAATTCTGGAATCTAAGAGTGGTTGAAGATAATTTGAATTGGGTGAAAGTAGCAGAATGCAATCTAATCATTTTCTGATTATATTGCAAATCTGTTTATCATCTTTGATTGGCTAACAATCTTATCACAAACCAATTTGCAATTTTATCGGTTTCGTCGCACACTTCGTTGTTCTTCTGTTTTGTGCTCTCAATATCTGCTATCACCTTATCGAGTTCTAGAATAGATGGTTGTGATAAGAAGACGGATCTTATCAACGTAACCATTATAAATAGAAGGCGAATGCAAATTATGTAGTGCCGCATTCTGAAATATTGATTTATGAGATTTCAACAGAAAATCTATTTGTTAATGGCTTCGCTTTAAATCTTGGGATGACCGATGACCATCGGTCAGTTTCCAATACTAAACTTATGTTTACTTTCCATTTCTATTATCCACTGGATGAACTGATTACATCCTTCCATGAATCTGCATTTATGGATGTTTCTTCCCGATGAAAAATTTTTTTTAGGATGTGAAGAAGGCAGGAAAGTAAAGAACTAATTAAGAAGCTAAAATTCTTAGCTTAATTAACTAATTATATTAAAATCGAAGTGTATAGAACCTTTATATTGTCTGATATCAGTGAACTGTAATTGTCTTTAATAGAGAGACAAGACAACCTGAAATCACCTGCACAACCACTCACAAATTGCGGCACACAAAGAACTATTGCTTGCAAAACACTCAAATATTTTTATATTAACAAATTTTATTTAACTCTTTATTATTCTGAAATTTGCATAGACTGCAATAAATCCCATCTTTACCGCTTTTTATTCATTTGAAGCTGTGAAACAATTGTTTTTGTTTTGAAAATGGATCTAAAGTTAAGAAGCAAACGCTCAACAAATTTCTGCGCTGCAGAAATGATTTCATTTTGAGATCTAAACTTATACTTTGAACGAATAGCTAAAAACTTTTACTCCACTTTATTATTTGTTCAAGTAAAGGAGGGAATAGTTTTGAGTACAAAAAGTAGAGAGGAAGTAAGGGTAGTAAAAACTGTCACAAAGAGAAGAGGGATATTCTCTTGTGTTTTCTAAAACGTATACACTTTCTTCAGCAATTTCAAATGTTTCAAATTGTAGTAAATTTCTGATTGTATTTGGAAATCTTTAAATTCATTTCTGTGAATTCCACAAATTTAAAAAGTAGTATGTGTAATGCTAGAGTGCACAGTGCTTTTCCTTCAGAAAGTTTGCCAAATATAAGAATCTCAAATATTTACAATGTCTTGTTGAAACAACAGCAATTAACTCAAAAAACAATTAACTCAACCGATAAGATAATCAACTTTCAACTGATTTAGTGGATCGATTTTAAGGAAACAGATTTAAAGAAATTGTGTTATTAATGAAAAAGTTTTTAAAGAATAAAAATAAGTTAAAAAGGCAAACAAATTTCACAAAAAATTTATGCATGGTCAATTGATGAAAAATTGAAGTATTTGGTAAAGAGAAGAAATAAAAAGAAGGAAAAGTAAACAAGTACAAGGCAAAAAAGGAAAAATGTTTGCAATTAAAAGTTAATTTTTTTCTTTTAAAATCACAACTTAATTTTAATTAAGTTGAAAAACAAACAAACAAACGACTATCTTAGATTAGGATTAAATGAAAATGATTGCAAAAAATTGCATAAAACAGTGCAATCTGAATAATTTTGTTTTTTTATCGGTGATTTTTTTTTAAAGTGTCAAAAAATATAAAATTTGCACTTTAAAAAGGACGATAAAACAACATTATTCAAAGCAGGTGTAAAAATGATATTAAAACATGTACTTTAAATTGAAGTGCTACACAAAAATATGTATTTAAAAACAGACGAATATTTTATAATTATACAAAAGTATGAGAAAAAATTACAAATGTATTTTTCAAACATATGAAAAAACTTGCATAAACATATATCTACAGTGAAAAAACTGAATGATCCTTATACCAAAGATAAACATAACCGGATCTGACCATTGATACCAAACGAGCCTGAAGTGTTATCCAACAAAAACATAATAATAATAATAATTATAATAAATCAGAAATAGACACAGAACAATAGTTCAACTCATTTAACACTTACCAGTAAAATCAACAGTTGGATGAGATTGCGGCAAACGAGATATCACGTAATTCTGAAAAATATATCACTACAAATCAAAATTAAAAAAAAAATGAAAATATTATTTCACACAAATCGACTTTCATTCACACTATAATGTGCAAATAATAGGCCAATTTATGTGATAGAATGCAACTTTTCTCTTGGCCATGACTCATTGTCGCATGAATACATGAAAAGGAGCTATGAAATTATTTTTTGATAAGAATTTTATAAATGTCCATAGAGTGAAGACAACAAAACATACGACGGAATGATCACCCTGATATAGCTATCGTGGAAAACCATTCGGCTGTTGAGTCTGAGTCTGTAAAGTAAGTGGAGAAAAATATTTGATATAAAGAAATATTCAACATTCAGTAATTATACATATTTACATCAAAAATTGGCTTTCAGTATCATATCGGAATGTGAAAATATGTTAATTTATAACAAAGTAATTATGCAATACGAAATCAATTAATATCATGTAATCGTTAATTAAGCATTATCCCTGTTTGACCTTTACAGTGATGGAGTATATGTGATGGTCGTTGAGAAATTACTAATTGTGAATATGCAGATGAAAAATTTACTTTGACAATGGAAAATATACGAAAGAAAGTGATAGATTTAGTTCTTATCTACACTAAATAAATTCACCAGGGTGCAAGAAAATGAACCAAAAAAAGCAATTCGATGAGTTAATTGAAATAAACTGAAGTGTGAATAGATTTAATAGAATTGTTACACAATTGTCACAATTGTCATTAAAAGAATCCATCCTAATATTTACTGATGATAAGAAATTATTTATTGAAAGGAAAAGTGTGCAAATAATAGAATAGGTATGATCCTTTTTGAAGCATTGTAATGAGAAATATGTGAAAATGAAAATTCCTACATCATTCTCACATTTGCAGGAAGGAAGATAATCCGAGGCATCTAATTATGCTTCTATAAAAGATATACTTTACAAGCAATAATCCCAATATTAGCCAATCGTAGCTTTTGAGAAAGAATTTTCTCATTCAAAATTGTTAACTGACAATTAAAATTGACTAGAAAATGAAATATAGTAAATTTCTGAAATACCTTTCAGTTTCATTTCCCTACCGTATGCCATGCCTATTCATAGGGCAGATTTGATTGGCTGAAGGAAGTTAGAAATAGAAATTTTAATTTTTCATCCGGCAAAATTTTTTGTTCCATATTAAAGCTCTAAATCAAAAGGTCTTAAAAGATATTTGATCATAACTTCTTCTACTTATTAATTACTGTTGAGATTGCTTCAGCAAATGAATTAATTAGCGTCAAATCTCTATAGTGCATCTAGAAAAATGTATAGAAAATTATAATAGCAGTGCTTTCGTACCTTGAAAAAAAATGAGAAAATGATTTGTGAATTTCTAAAGGAAAAAATGAAAACTTCATAGTGACTTGCCTAAAATTCCTTCCTGGTATTTCATGTCCATATTTCCACAACCTCTCTCATTCGTTTCCGATATCCGGAATTATGTCACGAGTCTAAATTCCATCCACCAATTATTTCATAAAAAAGTATATTACTGAGTTGAAATATGAACATAGCAAGCTATATGAGTTCAAATTCAATCTTAAAAATAAAAAATTAAGATGATCAGCTGAAAATAAAGTTAATAATCTTATTGTCAAATCTGTATTAGCAAACATTGTGATAGGCATTTCTATTGAATTTCAGAAAGATGTAAAAAATTTGTGCTTTTCATTCTTAATGATATTTTGCTTTGAGACCTTTGTGAAAAAAACTGTAAAAAACTTTTTGAGTTTTGATGAGTTCAAAGTGAATTGTAGTGCGATTTTAATAAGATCGGCGTTACAAAAGTGTAAATAAAATATATGTAATGAGCAAATAAAAATATTATACTAATTTGCAAGAATTAATTTGAAATTAATTTAATCACCAAATATTCACTTTCGCAATAATAAAACTTCGACAAATTGAATGGAACATTATGTTCAAATGTAAATACTTATTCAGTTTTTTATTACATATCAATTTTAATTAACTTGTCAGTTTTCACTTCCGAAAGATTTATAGTCGGTTCAATTCTTAATTCTTCATTTGACCCCCATAAAAGGTCATAGAGCAGTAGATCAAAATTTCAGTCATTTATTGATCAATCAGTGTTCAGTCAGTATGCTTTTGAAGCTAATCAATTCGCATTTTTTTTTTTTTTTAGTAATTTTTTTTCTTTTTAGTTCTTTTATGCGACAATTTTTCATTAAATTAGATAGTTATATATGTGTGTGTGTGTGTAAAATGTTTGTTCAAATCGATTGTTATTTGGATATGCATATTTTGCTAGTCAAATATATCTTTCAATCCAAAAATTTTTCTTGATTTTTCTAATGTATAATTTAATTGAAACTTACATAAGTTGGTTTCATTATTTAATACACCCAACTCTTTCTACTGCATAAGATAATCCATTAGTAAAACCAAAATTCAACAATTGTTATTGAATTCAAAAATTTCCACAAAATCTGTTGTTGACAGTAAAAATGTTATTATTTGCACAAAATGAAAAGAAAAAAAAAGAACTGATCACAAGTCATACACGTGTATAGGCTTAAATTATTCAAAGATGATTCATCCTATTCTCGAAAATAGTATTATTTATAATAAATCATTGCAATATGAAATAAATAAATTTTTATTTATTATTCTGTTTCATTTCAGACATATTTTAACAACAGTTTTTTTGAGCACTTCAACTGTTATAAAAACAATGTGCCAAATGTTTTCTGTGTTACATCAATTTGCCTTCTGTTTTCTCCATTTCATTTCTGTTGCTTTGTCATACAGAAAACAGCTATGATTTCAGTTTCAGTTTGTATATTAATTTCATTTTGCTGCTAATTTTACCTTAAATGTTAAAATTTTCTTGTCATTACTATTATTATTACTATTTATTATTATTATTGTTACTATTATTACTATTATTATTATTATTATTAAATGACTGATCTTTCAGGAATAGAAAAATGATAAAAATGAATGAGAAATATGTTAAAGAATTGATACTACTGCTGTTGTTCGCTATGATATATACATCGTTAGAGTCGAATTGTGAATTTTGGATCGAAGATGATTTTCATCCATTTGTGCCAAAATCAGAGGAAGCACGAGAAGAATATTGCGGTTTCTTTAAAGAAATGAATTTGTCCAGAAATGAGTTAATGGATACAATCAGGAAATGGGCATCAAAATATGGAGTTTTGGTCAGTATTTTTCAAGATAAGATTATCTGCCTAGGACTATCTTATTTGATACACTTTGCATTAAAATAAAATGAAATGTTTCTTTTAATAATTTTATCAAAAATTATTAAAATTAGATCATCTTGTCAATGTTATTAATGATTAGATAGCAGAGCACTGAGTTTTACACCACGCGAAAATAATTAATTCCTAAGTTTCTTTTCCGAATTGATATCCGTTAATGATGGTAAAGAGAAATGAAGACGAATCGATATAATTAAAAATTTTGGCCTTTATCTATTAAGTTAATAAATTTGTTGGAACTGATAACAAAATGATATTGATACTCTGTTCATTTTAGAAATAAATAAGTAAAAGAAATTAGATGCAATTAGAAAATACTAATATACTACAGGAACAATTTGATAACTACGTTGACGAAGAGTTACGATACGAAAATATGGTTTATGATATATTCAAGGATAAAGTTAACAGTACATGTGGGAGTGAAAAAATTAAGAGAACTCTTTTCGAAATAACAGATTTGCTAACAGACAGAGATACTGCACAACAAACGATTCAGACTAAAATTGATGAAATCATAAATAATTTAAACGAGAGAGAACGGATGGAATTAACTCAATTATGGGCGATACTAGGTGAAGAAGCGATCATCGAAGCGCAAGACAAATTTGAAAATGGAAATAGTATTTGGGAAGCAGTTGAAAATACTACTCAAACTGATAATTTTAAAAGTGAAATAGTAAAAGACAACGATAAAATACTAATCAGTAATTAAATATTTTATGGGTAGAAGAGATACTTTTTGCAATCTATAAGAGTAAGTAAACAAATTTGCTTTTTCAATTGTATATTTTAAAACTAAGTTATGACCTTTGCACTTATCCTATCAATATATATATGCTTGAAAGTTAGATCAATTATGCATTAATGTTTGAAATGAAGTAAAACGTAATGAAGTTACATAATTAAAGCGTACGTAATAAAGCGCACTTGTGTGCATGCATCTGTCTTTTTGTATAAATAAAATTTCTAAAGCAAAAATTTGGGCGTTATGCATGCTTATACATCACACAATGGTATTTTTCGAATATTTCCGTTAAAGACATTTCCGGAAAAAACACATCCGATATCAGTCATTAAGCCATCTTATTTGATTTAATCTTTAAATGATGCGATATTCATTCAAATTTTCAGTATTTGCATCAAATTTTATTGATTAATTCGTCGGATATATCGGATATAAAGATAGCATTTTGTTTACTATCCGTTACTCTAATATTTTCCATTCGTTTGCTTTACATTTTTGCTTTCTCAAAAACAGATTTGATAGTATCTATTTACTACTGTATGATGATAAAAAGGTGATAAAACATGTGACAGAAAAGTTTAGATGAGGTCAACCAGATGAGATGTATGGATTAAGATGGGGAGAAGAAGATTTGGATGATGTCAACTTGATGAGACACATGAACTAAAACATGAGAGAGAAATTTGTCAAAATGTTTTTTTTTTTGTGAAGTTTGAACTTATGTTTACTCAGAATTTATAGAAGTTAAAATTCTTAATATGAAGTGAAATGTGATTATCAGAAATAATAAATTGTAAAAATAAAACTTTTGTGGGCTGCAGGAAAGAGTGAAAAGAAAGAAGAAGAATCGTTGTTTTCTGAGATAAGTAATGATTGAGGAAGATAAGATAAAAGAGTTAGTTTAAGTTAGAGGGGAGAGGGGAAAGTTGAAAGGTGAAACAGGAGAGATCGATACTCTCTGAGGGAAATTAGAGAGAGAGAAAGCAGATGTGGTCAAGAGGATGAACATAAGTTGTCGGTAAACAGAACCGAGCAATCATCACTTGCATTTCATTTCGGTTCACGACGAGTTTAGTTTGGATCGTACAAACAAGTTTCTCAGCTGGTCATTGAGACGAGGCGATCGGTCACTGCTGCAAGCGCTTTTGGACGGAACGGTTGTACTGCGCTGATTGAAAGTTGGTTAGCTACTGCCGTGCAAATTTTAAACGATTATCGATGCGATACAGCGCAATCTATTTTAACTTTCTAACTCTTACAATTAGCAATTTATTTCACGTAATTTCCACGCAGCAGCTAACCCCAATTATCGGTGGTAAATGTGATGCTAACAGTTCAGATGTACCTATTGGTGGGAAAGGAACACAGTTCTTCCTCAGATGTGAACAAAGCTTACAGTAAGTAATTTTATCACTGATAATAAAATGAATCCATCAATCAGTTTGATGATAATTACCAATGAGGTTGAATAAATCATACCTTCAAGACTAACACTGAGTAATGATAATATCTTTTGGGAAAGTTAATCGAAGCATTAAATTTCATCATATTGATGGTGTAATTGGATAAAATATATGTTTTTTAAACCTTTAATATCATTAAATAATTTATTCCAGGAGAGATATGTAATCAAGTTATAGTGAAATTTATTAAATATTGTAATAAATTCATTCAGCATAATGAAATCATAGATACTGTTAGTTTTTTTCTTAATTAAACAATATAATTAAAAAAAAAAAATATGCAAAATTAATTTAGGTCAGAAAACGGTAAAGGAGTTTGGGTAGTGAAAAGTCGTACTTTATCAACTACAACATCTCAAACAACTCCAACAATACCTGTAATTACCATACTACCACTCGAGAACAAGCAAGAATCGTATCAGACTCTTAAATCAAACAATGATATCATTTGTGGTAGAATAAATTTGCAATTTTTTTTTAAAACTTTCTACAATTTCTGATGTTATTTTTATTCGTATAATTAAATAGATTATTGCATGTGATTATTTGAACTACAATTATGAAAACAAATGCCAAACATAATATATAAACTAATGGCTTTTAATTTGTTTGAAATTTTAGCAGCGACCATTTTGTGAATAATTTCATTTTGCAGTAGAAGATAAAAGTGCGCAAAGTGGCGATCCGTGTTCCGTGTCATCCGTATGCCTACAACAAGAGCAGGGACAGTTGTCATCAAATTACTTGCAGTGTGATCAAAGGTGAATCGTTCAGTTTTTCTCGAAATTAATTAAACGAAAAAAAAAAATCATTGTTTCCAACAATTCATCATTTTGCTACCATCTATCATTTTATTAATCCATCTTATTATTGTCACTTAGGGCAAAAACATAAGTATTAAATAATAGGTATAAATAGTTACCTAATCAGTTGAAAAGTATAAATAGTTACCTGATCAGTTGAAAAGTATAAATAGTTACCTGATCAGTTAAAAAGTATAAATAGTTACCTGATTAGTTGAAAAGTATAAATAGTTACCTGATCAGTTGAAAAGTATAAATAGTTACCTGATCAGTTAAAAAGTATAAATAGTTACCTAATCAGTTGAAAAGTATAAATAGTTACCTGATCAGTTAAAAAGTATAAATAGTTACCTGATTAGTTGAAAAGTATAAATAGTTATCTGATCAGTTGAAAAGTATAAGCAGTTACCTAGAAAAAATCAATGAAATGTTTGGTGGAAGAATTTTTATATTTTTATCAAAAAAATAAACGAATAAAGGTAAATTTTAAAATTTAAGGCAAATTTTTTTTGCAAGCAATAAATCGTAGCAATAATGAGAATTTAGTACCAATCAATGGATGAGGAAATCCTGTTTGGATGGACGAATATTCAGTTTTGAGCACCAAACCTGCATCACATCGGACATAAGCGCATTCAGGCAAAGTCGCCTTGGAACACGTAAGTTTGCTCTGAAGTTAGCGATTTTTGTTGTGCAGTTTTATTGCGCATTTACTAATTAACTATTATCATCATTTCATTTAATTATCACAAATAACATCGATTTTCGATTTTCAGATCAAAACTCTAAAATTATCAAAAATTTTGTGGTACTCTCGAAGGAATCTTTCCTCTTTTTGTTTCACTCATTGAGTATTTTAAATAAAATACCACTTTTTTTTTTTGAAAAACCAATAAATATATTATGAGAACTATGATCAAATAGGTATAACTGTAATAATAACTGAATTATTCACTACTTCATAAAGCATATGTTCTCGTAATTGCACGTCACTTACAAAATTATATGTTTAAATATTTATTTCAATTTCTTCGCTAGTTAAATCATTAGTCTAAATATGTACTAATATAATTAAGAAAAGATATCGTTATAGAAATTAAAATTAATATCTGATTTAATATCAGTGAATATTTATCTGATCAAAATTGCATTTATTGTATTTTTACTTAAATTCTGAAAGTATTTAAATTGAGAAAGAAAATTAAATATTTGAAAGTTGTTAGGTGATAATTATCAGTCATCCCTGATATTTAGTTGTCAGAATGAAAACAAATAATCACATTTCCTCTTTATCTTGCATCTATCATTTCCTTATCACAGTAATCGTTCACTCTTCAAAAACGCTAGCAATGATGTAGCATACGGCTAAAAGAAGCTTACAATCTCGGAAATTTCAAGACGACATTTAATGTAATGCATTGGATAACAATTACTTCACATTCTCGAAATTATTGTTTAAACAGTTTGGTCAGAATTGAAAAACTAACTGGTTTTGCAGAGTTTTTTTTGTTAATTCAAATGAAAAGAGCAAGCGTAAATATAACAAATCCGTTCATCACGACAGGATTGCAGTATTGCAGTAGCAAACGGAAATCTTTTCGAAGCACAAATAAAGCAGAGCAAATGGCTGAAGTACCTTTTGCAAGGAGTGGACACTAAGCTTATAAGCACACAATACTGACCACTCATTGCTAGCACGACCGGTTGTTTCGGTCAATTGCTATTTATTTTGAAGTACAACTGAAGTTAGTACAGAACAGGAAGACAGAACATTTAATTTTGAAGAAACTTCAGTGAGAAGGAAGAAAATGATAAATCAATGGAAAAAATCAAACAAAATTTACCGGAACAAGAGAGCTGCTGTTTCCAAAAAAGGATCTGGCTTACCTAATCCGGTTGACAATTCGAATCAAACTATAATCAATTTAATGATAAGTTCCTGTCGATGATTGCAAATATCAATTCTATTTCAACATTGATTCCAGCAGATGGATAAAGCAACTTAATCGATCAGTGGAAATCTGGAAATCTAACAATAGTCTATTCGAACTGCATCGATAAAAATGCAAATTTAATGAATGTTTGCTAACAAACGGCCAAGATGGATCAAAAAATGCGAATTTTCCGGAAAAATATGTTTGCAAAAGGATGAATACATACAACGCGCGCTTTTCGGTAATTTAGAGCAGAGAAACGGAAAGAGTTCATGAAATGATAGAATAAACTGAATATTAAGCATACTGATCAGTTGATATGATGGATGAAATGAGGAAAACTTTCATTTATGAATTTTTATAATCTAAAAGAAACACAGTAAAACTTTGCCGGATTAATTTTCTTTAAAATTTCCAACCAGAAATATTTGTTAGACTTCCAAAGAAACTCCGAAGAATCGAAGAAACTATAGCGTTTGATAATTGATAAAATTTTATCAATGAATATGATATATTAGTAATTTCTATGTCATATTTTCAGTTTTTTATTCTTATTGTATTTAATTCTTTAAACAGAAAGAAATCCCTTTACATGCACAGTCTTTTGCCAAAACATGAAAAGTTGTGTTAATTAAATCCCAATAGATGATAGATTATTTTCCGGAAATGGATAGCACATTATCCGGTTTATCACTCGCTACTTTACTGTCAGCAATGGTTGAAACATTCTAAACGTTTAGTAAATATTTAAATTACCAGTGATATTCTTATCGTATGAACTCATAACAACAAATGATACTAATAGCAAATTCAGGGTATTACGGACAATCAGCGCCAAATCCTTTTGGTGGAATTGCGTGTTCGTTCACGCAGTGCTCTCAGAATAACCCGTGCCATCGCGGTACATGCAATAACGGTTATTGTTGTACTTCCTCCAATGGTAAATTGAATATTTCTTTTTGCAGCTGTTCCAGTAACTCTATTTTTAATTTCAAATACTAATCAAATCAATTAATTTCAAAGATGGAAATTGCTAGTCTGTAGCGCTGGTTTGATCATTTTCTAGAATTTTCATATGAAATATAAATGAATGAATCACTTAGATCAATCAAGTATCACAATTTTCTTAACTTTATTCTAACCATAGCTGTATCTTTGAATTAGGCTGAAGTGCTTTTTTGAACTTTTGATAATCTATCAAATATATTACTGGAAAATATATTTGATATTTAATTAGAAAAACATCCAAAATTCATCATTTCAATGATGTGATAAATGTTTACTGGACTTATTTAATGTTCTTTACTTGTTTACTAGAATTGCTTTACAGGAAATTTTGTAATAGTATGTCATATCAGAAACTTCATAACAAATTCCCTGTCATTGTTTCATTTAATAAACCCGTGAAATTGGTATTATTAATTATTACAAGTTTTAATTGCTATATGCAAATTAAACAATTCAATTAAGGCCCTGTCTACACTACTTTATTACCATATCATCAGCAATCACTTCAAATGAATCAATTTCCATTCTCGATACCTCATCAAATGCAACCAGCACATAATCCTACAGCTTTTAGTAAATTTTTGAAAAATTCATCAAATTAAATTTAGGAATTTAGAAACTTTCATACATTCTGCATATTTTAGTTTTAATACTGAAAAGTTTTAATACTTCGGTTTTAATACCGAAAAAAAAAAAAAAAAAATTGCCTTTGTTGTAGAATTTGTAGCCAAACTGCTCGTTCATCCATTGTTTACATATATTTTGAAAATCCAATTAAATTTATATTTAAATACGATAAAAGCTATTTAATGCGAAATATTACTGCAACAGATGGATGCGCAAATGGCGGATCACCGGTTGGCACTTGCATTAATATGCGTTGCGCACGTGGATATTTCTGCTCGCCGGGTAACATCTGTTGTCCATCAAATGATTTTGGGACAATGATAGGTAGCACTGCTAATCCGATGAAAAATCCATTTCGTATGTTTATTCAATTTTCGTTCTACTATATAAACGTAAGATGAAAAATGTACGTGGAAAATAAACGTAAATAACTTTTAGTCAGTTGATTTCTTTAGCGTAAGATGTTCATATAGTAGAAAGAAGTTTCAGTAATTAAAAACTAATTGAACAGATACATTTCTAAATTTCCAGCTAAACCTATCTCATTCTACTCTTTTTTGTTTTTGCTTTTACATTTTTCTATCTGTTGACTTAATTTCAGGAATGAATTACTGATTTGCATAATACAACAATTTTTAATTAACTCTTCAAATGTCTTTCTCGGCTAACATAAATATAGAAAACCAACAATCTATTTAATTTTAGTTTCTTGATGGATGTGAGCAAGAAAATTTAAATGTAAAATACAATAGAGCAAATTTAGATTTGATAACACTTTGCTATGTTATCCAATCAGAAATTCTGCTCATCGTCAAATGCAATTTAAAGAGAAGATTGATGGATAAAATTTGAAATGCTGAAAAAAGAAATTTCAGTTTGTACTGATGGAACCCAAGCAGCTGGGGCTTGCATTCTTGGCCAGTGTGGCTCATCATTTACATGCATGAACGGTATGGTATCTTCTTTTTATTCTATTATTTCGTTGATGATAAAATAAGACTTATTGGCTATTGGCTCAATTGGGGACAGATCTAATTACATTATTTTCGTAATCACATCACTTTTCAAATAAACAAATGAATTGTTGCAAAGCAAAAATGTGATTTAAGTATTACTAAAGGAATTCATTAGACAGTACTATCAACAATATTTAAGTTCAGTCTCAATGCTGCAATGCAGCATTTTCAAATGCTAATGACGATAATTTGACAATGCCAAAAGCTGTCATTTACCTCTTTGAGTAGAATTAAATGAAAAGTAAATTTAAGCAAAATCAATTAACTGAAAAATTCAAACCTAAATACACTTGGCTGATACTATGAAAGACAAAGACTTTTCTACCAATTGCTAAATGACTGCGATCATTATTAAAAATCTTAAAAGACAGAGAAGAGACGAATGGAAAGTATAAGTTAGGATAGATCAATTAATTATATTCTATTAATTACCTTAACTTTAGGTTTATGCTGCAATGTAACAAATAACACACCTCGTTGCCTTGATGGTTCGCCATCTGTTGGTGCATGCATTTCCGGACACTGTGGTGCAGGTTTCGTGTGCACCACAGGGAATTTATGCTGTTTAACAAATACCATCGCTAATATCATCCCTGGTCATATTAAATTTTAATTTTATACTTCAAAATTGTTTTTTCAAAATCAAATTACATCAAAAATTTTCCGATTTCATTGATTACAATAATAGAAACATCAAGTTTTATTTTGCCTTTTTTCTCAGTTTACTGAAAATAAATAATTTTAGGGACATGTCCAAACAATGCTGCATCGATTGGTACTTGCATTAATGGCCTATGTCCAACTGGTTATACATGTATAAATGGTCAATGTTGTCCACAAACCGACAAAACTTTCCGTTGCTCTAATCTTAATTATGCTCTTGGACCATGCGTTGCTGGCCAATGTCCAGATGGTGGTTTTCAATGCGATATGACAATAAATTCTTGCTGTCCGGTAACGGATCCTGTTGGCCCATGCATTGAGCCAGGTTATTTTAACATCTAATTTAATTTGAAAAAGTGAGAATTCAATTTGAATAAAGAATTGCTTGGTATTGTTTCTTCTTCTACGATACCATTAAAGTGTCAATTCGAAGACGTCTGTTGCTTTGCTTTCAAAGGGACAGCAGATGACATCTTATAGAAGCTAATCACTCACAGTGATTTACAATATTTATTGGTGTAAATATGTTTATTTAAACTAAATTTAATATTATCACTGCATGAGTTCTGTAACTTTCATATTAATTTGCATATTACAGGTGACCAATGTCCAGCAGGTAATACATGTTTCAAAGAAGGTTCAACTCCGTTGTGCTACAAAGAATGTGATGGTCGTGGGACAGTATTTGGTCCTCCGGTAGACGGAGTATGCCCAACCGGAACTACTTTGATTTTTGGTTCTTGTTGTACCTTAAGAGCGCGATTGCATAATCCAATACAATCATCGTTTTTTTCTGAACGACACGCTGATTTCTATTCATGGCCTACTACTTCCGGTAAAAATTTTTGGTTCGACTTTAAAAATACATCCAATGAATTATTGAAGAATGTGATTTAGTTAAATTTAAGTTAAGAATGAGAATTTACTCAATTTTTTGATCACTTTGCAAAAGATATTTTCAGGAATGAAATTATGTCCGGATAATACCGGACCTATAAGTGCTTGTATAAATGGTCAATGTGGATACGATTATCAATGCTACAACAATGTTTGTTGTCTTCCGCAGTACAACAATGTGATATTTCCACTTTCATTAACAGGTAAAATGTTGACATTTTATTTTTTTATATTTTTAGAATATCGGAAAAAAAAAAATTGATTTTTAATTGATTCTTCAATAGCTCAATAGCTGTCATTTGAAGGATATGAATTAAAGAAGGAAAGATGATAATATAATATCCTAAGCGATCATTCCAGCAAATGTTTTCAATTTCAAATAATTTAAGCTTTTACTCATCTCATCTCCAAACAATAGCAATAATCTTCTATTAGAAATTTTAAATTAGAATTATTGACATATCTTTAAAAAAAAATTTTTTTTTTCTTTTACTTCAAAATTAAGTTTGCTAAGCTAATACATTTATTTTTAATATATTAGCTTCACCTGCCTATATATTCTTTCAATTTAAAACTAATCATACAACAATAACAATCATTTTTCCTGCAAATAAATAATCAAATGATTAATTCATTTTTCAAACTTTTATTTTATTTTATTTTTTTTCTTCTGACTTTTATTTCAAACTGAGATTTATCAGAAAAAAAAAGCAAATTCAAAAGTGAAAAAAATTTATTGTAGCATTGAGGCCAATAGGTGCTTCATGTGAATTTACGCAGCAATGTGTTAATTCTATGGAAGGTTTATCAATTTGTGAATTAGGTATATGCAGGTGTTTACCAGGTGCTCAAGTGAATGGATTTTATTGTGTTAAACGTTTCAGTTAGTTCTCTTCTTTTTTCTTTTTTCTTTTTTTCCCAATTTCTTTTTGAAATATATCCTCAAAAAAAAAAAAAAAATTGTAAATTAGAGAAAAATTTTTTTATAATTTTTTATGATTTAATGCTATTATATTACGGATAGTTCAGATGAGAGATTCCTTTAAAATACAAAAATTTCTGTTGCAATTTCAACAAATGAATCATTAAGAAATTAACTGAATGATAAAGTGATGATAAAATGATGTCAACTTTAAATATATTAAATTAGCTATATGCAGGATCAGCTATATCACATTGATTTATTAGCCGCATTGATGTTAATATGTCTAATTAGCGATTTGATTAGATTTAAAAATTAAATTTTGTTTTTCATATGAAATGCTTCGATGATTTTAAAAAAATTAGCTTTTTTATTTTATGTCATTCAGTGTATTAACTCAAAAAGGCGATATTATTGTTTTTGTCTGTGAATTTATTAAATTCTTAATCCGAATTGTCACTTATTTATAATACTGATATACTGTTTATTTACAATGTAAATGATTTGACAGACTTTGGTTACTTTCAGGGAACTTTCAGGTATATTACTTTCAGGTATACCACTAAACGATGCAGGGCAATCGTCCAAGAATGGTACTTCAGTAGATGAATCTGATGCGGTAGGGACTGGGAGTTAACGAATAAAGGACGAATAAAGTTTTTTTTTTTTTTTTTTACCAGAGCATTTCCGGTTGTTACCTTCAGGATTCCATCATTTCTAAATCATTTACCGCAATTTCACCCATTTCTTTTTTTTTCTCTCAAAAAAAAAAAAATCTACAAATAAAATGACAAACTTATAGATATGATATCTTATTAAGCTAAATTGTCATTAACTTGATGAAATTCATTTCGTTAACCAGAAATATGCTAATAACTTTACAACTTACTCCAATTTACACTAATAAGTTTTTTTTTTTTTTTTTTTTAATTTATTGTTTTGCATATATGTCTGATCTAAATATGTTTTTCAACAAAGTATTCATTTTCATTTTTTGCACCTGTAAAAATATATGCAATACTAAATGTGACAAATTTTATTTGAAATAAATAAAATTTTATTGCTATATCGTTTTTATCTCTCTCTCTCTCAAAAAAATAAAACTTTTAAATTTGATTATTCAACTGTTTCTATTATAATTTTAAAAAGCAAAAATAAATGAATAAATTGAAATCGTTTGAACATAAATAATGCTAATTATTAATTGAGAATTTTCTGGTCTATATGAAATGCAAGAAAATTTTTTGTGTCACATTATTATGTCATGTCATATTTGCATCACATTGCTGTCACATCTTTGGTATTGTGTTCAGATGTAATCATTTTTGTTGTTCTATCAATAATTTTCATCTTGATCTAAGAATAAAATTTGTAAATTTAAAGCTTTCTAAAATGTCTTACAGTATGACTATATCCTCTAAGTACTAATAACAAGGTATATAAGTAATTTACTCTGCTAATAACAAAGTATACAAGTGTTTCCCTAATGCAGTAGTATTTAAAAATATTCAATGATGTTAAATTTCAATAAGATGGAAAGAATTATTCTTTAATTAAGTTTATCTCTTTCCTAATTTCTATATAACTAATAGTAAACTAAATTTCAGGCTTGGTACGATAAATCTTCCTTATTAGTTTCCTCAAAAAAAAAGAAAAAAAAAACAAGCATTAAATGCTTGTTTTCTTTCTAGCACTGAAATTATTTTCATATAATAAAAACAATGAAATTTCAAATTTAACAGAAAAAAGAAGGAAGCAAAAATGATATATTTATTCTATATAATAGTTAAAGAGTTAATTAACATAATTGTAATTTATAAATGCTTGCTTATTACAGTATTTAGATTATCTCACATCAAATTAATATTCTGATTAAGCTAAAATTAATTATTAATTACTTTTTAAAATATAATCTATCTTGTCTATTAAAGTATTATTGATTTAAAAAAATTTTTTTTTCTCCCCATTTGCATAATGAAATAAAATTAATTGCTTCCTGATATTATTATATGAAATATTATTTTTTACAGATGAATAACTCACATCGCATTTGAATATTTATTTGCAATGAAAACTTATAACTAAACTTATGCTATTGCTCTTATCACAAACTATAAACTACGTTTCTTTTTACTTCAAATCAACCGTGATAACTTTTTATTTCGAATTTAATGACTAATGATAATTAGGAAGAGAAGGAGAGAGAGAGAGAGAGAGAGCGGTGAGAATAGAGAATGAAAGAAAAGAGAAATGAAATGTGAAATAGATGTAAAATATATCTCTACCTGTGCAGGTAAAAAGAGAAAGAAGTAAAAATCAAAAATAAAGCAAATATAATCGCAACACTAACAGATAACACAAAATATGTAAAACGAATTTTTTTTTTCTCGAAAAAAAAAAAAAAGAAATAATGTAAATTAATGAGTATAATATGATGAAAATAAAAAGAAAAGAGGAAAAAAAAAAACATGGAAGCAGGTGGTAAGTAATAAATAAAATGTCCCACTTTACTTTAGTTGGACAAACTTTCATTTCAAATTTCTTTCATATTTTACTTTTCTATAAGCTTTGACTTATTTAAAATATTCCATAATATTTTCATCATTTTTTTTTCTATTTCTTTCCCAAATCTTTTTTTTTTTTCATTTCACGCATATTTTATTTTCTTAAATTTATTCATAAACTTGACATTTTGTAGTAGAATGAAAAAAGAAGTATGAAATGAGAAAGAAATCAAATACTGTTTTTTTCTTGAAAAAAAAGGTAATGAGAAAATTTGCAAGGAAATATTAAAAGGAATGTTTTAAGCTATTAACAATTACTAAGCTTAACTTTTTTTCCCATGTTTAATTATAGGTGTGATAGGCTTTGAATTATATTAAAAATTCGTCATCTATCACAAAGTTTGGTTGCTTGAATGTAGTAATAATAATGGCAAAAATGTCAACCATTAACCGCTGCGACAATCTTTTCGTTATGTTTTATTATAATTCTTACCATTGAAATATATGTTATTTTAATAATTTGTACAGTGAATAATTTTGAAATGATATTTGTAAAAAAAAAAAAAAAAGAAAAATTAAATTTTTCATTTTTAGGTTAAAATCTGTCCAATGAATGATCATCGAGAAAGTATGCTAACAGTAATATTTGCAATTTTAATTTGTGTCATTTCTCAATGTTCGATCACTAATGCAGTTACCTATGATCGATTTTGTCAACACTATCCTCCACTTTCACAATATCATTCTGAGCCACATTCTGGTTCATTTTCATTTTTCGTCCTAAAAAATTCCTTCCTGTTAACGGAACATTCATTTTTTAGCATTAAAAAATTTTTAATTTTCAAATTAAAAATAAAAATAGAATTGGGATATTTATCAATGACAATCGAAAAAAAAAGAACATATTTTTTAAAAATTTTCCAATTTTAAAACAATTTTTCTTTTTTCTTATTGATAAAAGACTTCAATGAGAATTTGAAGTAAAATTATTACCTATTAATTTAATGTTTTATTATGCATTGCAAAATAATTGGAAAGTTAGATCATCAAAATTAGTTAGCATTGATGATATTTCGTTAGTAAACTAAAATTTTAGACAGTTGCTAAGATGACAAATTTAGGAAAGTAATTAATCTCGAAAATTTAAATTTTGAAAAACAATCAATTCGTATGAAATATCAATGTACAATATTTTAATCTTAAATTTTTTTATACTAATCTGAAAATATATTACTAACCGTCAAAAATTTCAAGAAGGCTTTTATACATTCCAAAATTAAAGAAATTAAAATAAAGCTTCAACATCGCATTAAACATACCTCTGTATAAACATAGCAAACCAATTGATCTAATCAAATTTAATTGTATTCAAATTTAATCTCATAGTTATATAAATTTCAATGCAAACGAGATTTTTTGTTTTTTTTTTTTTCCAAAATACCACCAAAATATTAAATTGTAATAATAGACGGTGAAAATTTTTAGTATTTGATACTTTCCAAAAAAATTTGATAACCAATTTTTCAAATGATATTATAATAATTAAAAAATGAATTTTATTAATTCAACTTATAGTATCATTAAACTTTTTTTTTTTTTTTTTTTTTTTACAGTCAAACGAACGAATTACGATTTTATCCGATTTGGTCGTGGCAGAAAAGATGGGCCAGGAACATATGATTACATACGCTTTGGAAAAAGATTATCAGGATTGCTGGCTAATCAAAATTCTGAACAAACGAATTTAGCAAAATAAATGCTAATAGTTTATTCAAATATCGGCAAATATTGGAAATAACTTTATACATGATTCTTTTTTTTTTTAGTTTTGTCATCAATAAATGGTAATTAATGTTGAATAAAGTGGACAGATTAGATTCATTGGAATTCTTTTCGTTTTTACACATAAATAAAAAAAAAAATTTGAAAAATATTCCACTTGAAAATTTACACAATAAATTTAACACTTCTGGACTTCATCCAAATTTTAATTGAATGTACGTATTAGCAAAGTTGAATTAATTATGAATTAAAATGAGCAATTATTCAGATAAAATGAAATAAATTGGTGTAAAATTAGTTATTAGCTATTTTGTACATTTCAATGCTATTTAATTAACCTTTTATTATAAAAAACTTTAATTAACCTTTTATTATAAAAAGCTTTAATTAACCTTTTATTATAAAAAGCTTTAATTAAACTTTTATTATAAAAAGCTTTAATTAAACTTTTATTATAAAAAGCCTTCATTCCAATAAAACAGAAAGAAAGAAAAAAAAAACAGTAAATAATGAAACATTCTTTTTTTCTACTAATTACTGTTTCAGTTAATTAATTTAAATAGAAATTAATCTAAGGAACTTTTCATAGTATCACAGAATCACTTCCACTAATATCATCATTTCATAAATAAATGAAAATTACATTCATTTTCGATTTTGTTTTCATCATTTTGTCCAAATTTATGCGATAATTTGTGTAGGATTGAAATTTCACTAATTTCATTTCGTTAAAAGTTAAATTTATCTTACTCAAATTTTATAAATAATTTAATAATAAATGAGCAAATATGATAGTAATGGATAATTTTTGAAAAATTAAAATTTAATGAAATAACCTGGTGGATGTGAAATTAGCAAATAAGAGGAATGACGACTGCAATGACGTAAGTGATATGCGTGATATGCAACGTAAATGCATTTAACAAGTTTTGATTAAGTCATGAAAAAATGTTCATTGTATTTTGGTAGAGAAGAAATTTGGTAATGTATAAAATATTCATTAATGAATTTTGGATGTATTATGGTAGTTCATTTAAAAACAAAACGATAATAGTAATTTTCTTAGAAAACATGAATAAACGATCTACAAGATGGATTGTTTAAATGAAATTTGAAAATTTTAAAAGTTGAAACCACCTGTTCAAAATTTAAAATTTTTTAAAATAAATACTTGTAGAAAAAACAAAAAACTGCAACAGTATTATAATAAAGTGTGAAAGTTGAAGCACTCCAGTTCTATCATTTTCTTTTTTTTTTTTCGTTTCTAATTTAGTTCGAACTTAAAAAATGAAAATGAAATACCAGAAATGAGGTATTTTTGAATTCAATTATCTATTTTGAATTATAAGCAATGATATTATATATATAATAAAGCATTATATAGTAGTCATATTAAAATGAATCTATTAAACTCACTATTTAGAGATTCCAAAACAACTTTTTTTAAAAAAAAGAAAAAAAAGAATTTGAAGATAATTGAGAGATTAAAAATTAGCTGCTAAGTTATAATAATTTCAAGTTTTTAAATACAAATGTTTGATTATTTTCGACTAAATAATTCTTATTCAAATTTTACAGAACAAATTTGTCCAAATTTTAATTTTCAAAAGTGCAATTATAAATTAATTTAATCGTTTCCGTGACGTAAAGAATGAAGGAAAGATGGAAAGATTTTTCTTTTTTTTTTTTTTTAGCAAAATAAATATTCGCCTGCTTTTTTTCTTTTTTGAAGTCATTTATAGAAAGTTTAGCTTATTTAAAAGTTACAGAAAGTTGGAAAAGCATTTGTTTAATTAATTTTGAAAATTTAAAAAAAAAAAATTTTTTTCAGGCTATTTTGCATTTTACAAATTTCTGCAAGAAATTCCAAATGTAAAATGAAAGTTTTGATTTTGCTAGAACTAACTGATTATTTTTCAGCAATTCATTTTATTGAAATGACAAAAAAATATGTGTTAAATTGAAATATCACCTGATATCACCTGCGTAGAGAAAATAAATCTTTTAAATTTTTCATTTTTAAGCAATTATCGGTTACATGAATTATTTTTTGTGTCCTTTTTTATTTTTTTTTTTTTATTTCAAAAACGAAAAAAAAAAAAAAAACAATTTTTGTGAAATAATTAAAATTCGGCTGATTAGAAAAAAAGAAGTAAATACAAAGTTGATTTTGTTTTTCTCATATTTTAACATTCTTTTTAACAGCCAATTTCATCTTCTCGGGATCCACATAATAAAATACTAAATTATAGTGTAAAATTATATTTCCTTTAATTAAATATTTTTTTGATTTCAAATGCTACTATTTTGCAAAATTTGCATAAAAGGACATTGAAGTGTGAGACAAAATTATATTTGTGACAGTTAAATACTTTCTTAATTGCAAGTTCGATTGTGGAATCAATGTAAAAGATATTGAAATGTGAAATGAAATTTAAATTATAAAAAAAGTATATATGCTAAGTATAAATTCATAAAAGGTATCAATATCCAAATATAAAAGAGAAGTAAATTAAATCTCTTGGCTTCTTGAATTTGAATAATTTTTCAAGTAAACAGCTTAGAATAATATATGAACCAGTGAGTGATTAGAAGATGAATGAATGATAAAGTTATATCAGTTAAATATGAATAGATGGGGCGTCACCAACAATTTCAATTTTCAATTCAACTTTTAAAGAGACGAACATTTGAATTTCTTTTCATATTCTACCATTACTCTTTCAACCACGTTTTTACTCTTACTTTTCGTTCTTCTTCCTCAAACTAATATTGCCAGTAAGTTATTTGAATTATAAACAAAACTGATAAATAGAGTAAATATAATAAAGCTAATTAACACGTGGTTAAACTAGTACAAAATTAGACTTATGAGTACTACCTGACAATTCTCAATCCTTATCATCAGTTGTATTCATTGGAAATAAAGTTGAAAATGATTAGATATGATATGTGCTTCTGATGATAATAATCAGTGATATTATTCTTACTAATACTCTTTCCCAGTTTAATAAATCATTTAACACACATTAGATTAGTGGAATAATTCAAAGTATTAGTAGAAAATATTGATATTATTTTCAACTAAAATAATAATTTAGGTAAATCAAATAATATATATTATTTGATTTTTTGCTTTAGAAAGTACGAATGCTTAATTCGTTTTGAATGCAATTTCAGTAGAACTACCAAATATTCCGGATCGTGAGGAAATCTCAGATGCTGAATTAAAATACCATGGGATGAATGATGAGCAACGCTTATTTAAATATATTATCAGGAATTTTGACATTTCCATACGACCGGTTTGGAATGCAAGCAGTGTTGTAAATGTTTACATGGGTCTTACACTCACCCATATTTTCAATATTGTAATACTTTCTAAAATTTCTTAACTTCTACTTAAACCATAATTTGAGTAAATTTTACTTAAGCCTAAAATTCTCTAAATTTTACTTAAACCATAACTTGAGTAATAATAAGATTTTTTTTTTGGAATAAATTAAGTGAAATTTTGTTTATACCAATAACTATTTCAATAACTCACGAATTATGAGCATATTTTTTTTGGACAAATTAAATGGAAACTATATTTGTAAATGCTTTAAAAAAAAGGTATTTTCTTCAACCATTAACTTCTTTTTTAAAAATTTTATAATTAAAATTTTAAAAATTCAAGCCTAATTCTTTGCTCAAAATTTGAACTCATAATTAAATTTAGCATTTTTTCAAATTACTTTATTGTTTAGTTCTATCAAATCTGAATATTTGCAGCGATTTAATTTTTTCATTTCTTATATATGTTGCATTTTTCTTCATATTTCTTCAAAAAATTTCAGTCTAAAGTTATACTACAAACAAACAGAAAAGAACTGCAAGAAATGAATGCATTGTTTTAAAAAAAATATATATGTATTTGAGAAGAAAAATGAAATAAAACTTGGCCCTTGGTTGTTTAGGCCTAAGTTAATGCAAAGGCTAACATTGTCAATTTATCACTTTGTTTCATTCGAAGAGAAAAAAAAAAAATTCAATTTGTTTTGAAGCAAAACTAAAAAAAAAAAAAAAACATGTTCCATTCATGGTTACACTTATTGTATAATTTTTCCTCTTCAAAAATCATTTCACTTCTTCCTTCTTTGATTTAATTATCTTGGGATTCGTCTGACAATCCATGCTTTCATTTTTTTTTTAACACAAAAAGAATTTTTTAAATTGTTTTGCATAAAATGAAAAAAAGAAAATTGGAGCAATTGCAATGTAAACTAATATGCAAAGGACAAATAATTTACGAATTGTAATTTAGTTTTTTTTTTTTTTTTTTTTTGAATTTCAAACATAAATTTCATTGTTATAAAGGATGAGAGGAATCAAGTGTTGACACTAAATGTTTGGGTAGAACAAAGTTGGCACGACGAAAGGATTCGTTGGAATCCAATTGAATTTGGCAATATCAGTAAATTAACAGTGGGCAAGAAATATTTGTGGACACCAGATATCGTCCTCTACAATAAGTCATCATTTTTGCCATCAAAATTTCAATTATTTAATTTAAATTTTATCTAAATCTTATCAAAATAGTGCTTTGAATTCTTATTTCTTTCACAATAAAATCTAGCTATTTATGGAAATTTGAAAATTGCAAAATAAAACTAAAAAATTTTGCCGAAATAATGTGCTAAAAGTAAACAGTTGGAATCACCGTTTCAATCTAAAATTAAATCCGGATCTTTTTCAGGAAATGCTTAATTATACCATATATTAAACTTACAGAAACTTAATTTCTTAACTATTTCATACTTGAAAATTTGAGTATTCATTTTTTTTTTTTCAAGCTATTTTATGAAAATTTCAGTAACAGTTTACTTTTTTCCAGTGCGGGAGATTTTTCACGTGGTTTTGTCGACACCAATCTTCATATTTTAAGCAATGGCGATAGTAAGTTTATACGATTAAATAAATAAACAACAGTTTGTTGAAATTATAATGTGCAAAATTAACATTTTCTTTGAAATTAAAATTTTCAAACTTATGGAATAATTTGATCGTCGATGTGTAAGTGATATTACTTACTTACGTGATTGTTAGCATTTCCAGAAAATATGACGGAAGTACGCTTAGTAAATGACAGAATTTGCAATGATACATTTCTCTTTTTTTCTTTTTTTTTTTTTTTTTTCATTACTATATAGGAGCAATAAATATATTTAATTAAATAAAAAAAGTGATGGTTCATTTGAAATGAATTTTGAAGCGCAATGGGCACCGCCAGCAAAAGTTTCTTCGATATGTAAATTGGATGTTAGATATTTTCCATTCGACGATCAATTCTGCTTGCTTGAATTTGGCTCGTGTAAATCTTCTTCTATTACTGCTCAAATTAATATTTATTAATTTAAAAATTTCAAATTATTATGCTGTTTAAAATCAAAGATAACAAATGAGGAATGTTTAGATAACTATAGAAAAATAAATGATTTTAGATACAACTAAACAATTGAATTAAATATTATCAAAAGCATTAAATTCACTTATTCAGCTTAAGTAGCTCAATAAATGAATTTGTAATTACTACATCGACAAAGACAAGATTTAATTACAGTATTCTGTTAAAACTACTCTCTGCCAAATATTTACAAATCACAACTGCATGTCTCGCAATATGTTTTCAACTAATCAATATGCAGAAAAAAAAAATACAAAAATACGAAACAGAATGTAAAAATAAACACTTTAAGCTAACTTTACGTAGCTTCAAACTACAGTAATTAAAAATTATAGTATATGCTTTCTCTACTAATTACTGTAAATTAGGGATATACGATCAATCACAATTGGATGTACAAATTATGGAACGATACGATGGTAAGAATCCGTTCACACGCGATTCGTTCATTGAAAATGGAGAATGGGAAATTGTTGCAAATCGTACACGTAAGGTATTGATTTTCTATACCAATGATGACAAACGTAAATACACGTAAGTCAAAATATCATTATTAGATGCTAATACTGAACATTAACAAGATGAGGTTTAGTTAGCAATGAGAATAAACTAGCTAGCTTAGATTAATATGCTTATGAATACTTTGAACAGTAAAAGTTTTCTAAGGTACTTCGTGGTCGGCAGACAATCTTTTCAACAATTGTGTTTGAATTGCATTTACGACGACGAGTACTGTACTTCATTTACAATATTATTGCACCGTGTTTCATGCTTTCTGTAAGTTTTATGGTAAAACAAATTCCAAATATACTGTAATCAATTTTTTATTACGATAGTACATTTTGTATGAGCATACATGAAGAGTTGTACTGTACTTCGAATTATTATATCACTGTTATTTCATTCATTTCTGAGCAAAAAAAAAAAAAAAAAAAAAAGTTTGAAATGAAAAATTTCTATTCGTTCCTACAATAAGTCAACCATTACTTATCTGATTAGGTTAAGTAAAGTAATTTACGATTAAAAAATTCATTTCAGATATTAACAATGATGCAATTCCTATTACCGTGTGAAAGCGGTGAAAAAATAACACTTGGCTTAACAGTATTACTGGCTTATTCCGTTTTTAGCTTTAATATTGCTGAAAATATGCCGGAAACATCAGAAGTTATCCCTCTTATTGGTAAGTAATAAATCGTTAAAACTTATGAGTGCATCTCTGATAACCATCATTATTTCTAAATAATACCACAAAATTTATTTGATTAGTATAACACGAATCAAATAGAAGGGTATTGGAAATCATAATTAACTTATATTTGTATTGGAAATCATAATTAACTTATATTTGTATTGGGAATCATAATTTGCATTCGCATTTGTTATATAAAATAACTTTCAAGAAGAGATAATTATTAAAAATTTCAAACAACTATATCAAGTGATTAGAGAGATAAATGAAGTTAAAAAAAATTATTTGATCAACATTTAAATTATTGATTGCAGCGTAAACAAAATTTTAGAGAATATCCATCCATTCAATGCATTCGAAAATATATTTAACATTTATGCTCGAAATAATAATAATATCTCACTAATTAATATCTTTCTTAAATGGCATTCAGTTAAAAGTTTTTTAACGAATGCTTTTTTAAGCTCTTATTGTAGATTCAAACCAATAAGTTTGAATAATAGTAGTAAATATATTATCCATCAATAACATAATAATATTCACTGGTTGATAAATAAATGATCATTTTGGCAAATATTTTAATTTTAGCGATATATTTGATGGGAATAATGGCAATTTCGGGTCTTAGTGTTTGTTTATCAGTTATCGTTCTCAATATGAGGCATAGCGCTGAACGAAATTGCAGGTTTTTAAATCAATTTTAATCATTTTTCATCATAAAATTTTAACCATAAAATTTCATAAAATTTACTTGATTGAAGCAAAACTTATACTCGAAATTTTCATAAATCTTTTGAATATATTACATTTGAATATTTTAAAACTTGAATATTACATTTAGACCTCCAAATTGGTTAAATTTTATTGCATACCGAATTCTCGGACGTTTGTTTGGTATAGCGGCACAAAAAAAGCACAGAAAACTGGAATATGCAAAAGATACAAAAGATCTGATGAGCGAAATTATAGTAATATAATTCTTAAATTGCTTCTCATTTCATTCAGAATTATAATTAGAAATTTTAAAATTTTATTTAGAAGCTAGTCAGTTCCTTAATAATAGCAATTAACAATCCAAACAATGAATTCTTTTTGGAATCTAAAATATTGTTCAGCAACTAGAAATTTGCTCACAACTATAAATTGAACTAATAAAAGTAGTGGTTGTCCAAAATTCTCTCATTTAACAATGTTTCATTGTTATGAATTGACATAATTTTGATAGCAAACAAAAAAAAAAAGAAAAAATCTTTACAATATTTTTAATACTAAAATCAATTTCTTTGTTTTTTTTTTTAGATGGAACGAATTGAAAATGAGAACGATCACGACGAATTGGTTGAGGAATGGAATCATATTTCGATTATCTTTGATCGATTTTTCTTTTGTTGCATTTTTTTCCTTACCGGTGTTGCTACCTTTTTTTTGTTAATAGCTCCTCGTTTCAGTCATCGACATTTTGATATGAATTCTTGAACTTTCTAGTAGTATGAGTTAAGTTGTAGCTTATGACTTTAATTGGATAAAAAGTTATATTGATTAAACACACAAGAAAGTATTGTCATCCAAATGTTTCGAATAAAAATCTGTATTAAAATAGAAAATAAAATAATATTTGCATATTCAATACTTCCTTTCCTCCTTCTAAATTTATGGTCTACATTTCTGCATCAGTTTATGAATGTCATAGACAAAATAATTGAACCTTTGATTTTATGAAAAAGTTTTAACTTTATAAAAGAATGTCACAATTGAGACTGAATTTCGGTCACCACTATAATTAAGGGATGTCAAAATTCATTGTTGAAAATTGGAAATGAAGTGGGAGGATTAATCAGGCCATATTATCAGTAACTGTACTCTATCAGCCGTATTGTTATCAGTGACTTAATAATAATATATATCAGTGACTGGTATGCATAGATATTTTAGTCTGGAAAGTAGTAAAATCAGAAATGAACACGTTGAAATTGAAGCTAATAACGTGAGACGATTTCACGTAAATCATTTTTACCCAAAAATTGACATTAATTAATTTTGGAACGGAATGGTAAAATGGGAAAAAGGAAACTGGAAAGAAAGTACCGTAAATTGTACCAAAATTCCTAATGTCTAGTAAAAACGAAAGTTATTCTTACTATTAATTACTATACTTTAACTGAAAGTTGACGTTATAATATTATTAATTTTTATTATTAATATTTATTATTAATTATTATTAATAATATTATACTATATTATTATTACTATACTAGATTACTGCTACACCATATTATTGCCATACTTTACTATTATTATTAGTGTTCATCAGTTGTTCCCTTTATAACGTCAACTTTCAGTTAAACTTTGTAGCCATAGCAATTCCTACTTGTTCTTGATATTTCATTTCAATCCAAACATATTAATTAAATTAACAAACATTTCGCTAACATTTGTTTTTATTAGGGCATAGCACTGACACCGAAATCGTCAACGGTTAATTTACATAAGTACAACTATACGATCAGTGTTGACAGTGAACTGTTTTCATCGATGTATGCCATTTGGTGCATAGTTTGTTTACAACTGCCAATCTTCCGCTTTGTTTACTAATCGATAACAATGCACTACCAATCAAAATTAAAATGTTGTGACGTCTAGAAATTATTTTTCGGAAACTGTTTTTTTTTTTGTAGATAACTGTTATACCATTACAGTTAATTTTAGAAAGGTTTAAACTGTAGCATTGACTTCAGAATAGGCTCAAACTATTTACAAGGGCAAAGAATATAAACAATAAACAATCGAACGTTTTTGTTAAATTAACAAACAACATTGAAATAAATTGAAGATTATCAATTTAGTGAGTTACTACCTTTCACACTGCTTCATTTAATCATCATAAATATCAGTTCTATTGCTTTTCTTTTTTTTTTTGAAGTGATATTCGAGACTATTTTCGAGAACTAATCGAGTGAATAGGTCAGTATACCTTTCTAAGAGTCAATTCCAGAAAAAAAAAGAAAAAAAGAATAAATAAAATCAATAGAGAGCATCTCTATCAAGTGGTGATGTTCTGTATGCTAAGTGTTATGACTACAAATACCGCCACTTTTTCCACCTGCGATTAACAAGCAAAATGCTTCTAGTCTTCTAACCGTCAATTTATTTGCTAATTTCTTGGTTTTTCTATAGGATGAGACTAGCAGTCATTTGTCCAATTATTTGTTTAAAATTGCCGTAACTTTTTGTCAAAGTGGTTGTTACAACTGTTAAAACTTGCTTTAAATATTAAATATAAACATGAAAATTTTGAATATATCATCGTTCATTAACCATTTCACATCCATGTTGAGTTTTCTAATGAAATGAGTCAATAATGAATTTCGAGAATTTCTCTTAAAATACCCAACCCAAAATTGGTCATTCAAAATTACACAGCATCAGCACATAAAAATTCTTTCATTTCTTCTCGTAAACATATATTTGGAATAACTAACCAATTACTTTTTATCATATCTGTAATGAAATTTTGTCACAGTTTGAAAGCATTATTTTTACTTTTATTGAATAAAATACCCCAAGTACCATTTCAATTATCAAAAATGATTCAAAAGATTCATAGCAATGGAATATCTATTCGTTTCGTTTCCATGAAAAACAATAATTACTCAATTATCACCTAGGAAACAGTTCCAATTCAGTTACTGCTGTAAAAAATGTATTACTTGAACGATTATTAAAATGATTGATACTCTTAAGCAAAACCTATTCATTCAAAAGTTAGTGTTTACTTTAATAGTTAATTAGAAAATATTACAGGCAATAAACACATTAAATCTACTCGATGATATCGACAAATGGTGGCGTATGACTCGTACGTAAGTCACTCTACAAAATTAAATTATACTGTAATGCACAGAAAGTAGTCGTATACGTTAACCATGTCTGTCAAAAGAATAATTACTGCTACACTAAATTAGACAAAGCTAATGTTATCTCACGTAACGTCGTAAATCTTAATTAGACAAAGCTAACGTTATCCCACGTAACGTCGTAAATCAGTCATCACTTTATTCAGTTACAACGAACAATAAAACAACAATAACAACAAGCGTAACCTACGTCAATAAATCTCATTCGACAGTGAAAATCGTCCAACCGCGAAACAGCTCAACGTTTGTGGCGTTAGATGCCCTTTGTTATTGTGACGGGTAAACGTTGTACTGGCAGGAATTCACATCTCAACTAATTACGTAAGTGTACATATTTATGTATGTGACCATGGAAATTTGTTTATGATCAAAGAATTATTTATAAGGAAGTGATTAAATTATATTGTAACTTTACTTTCTGCAGGTAAGAATGAAATTTTCAAGTTGAATAAGATTCGGTATTCTAATTCCACTTATCACATCAATAAATCTTACCTGCAGTTGATTTAACCTTTGCTAAGATTCCTAGCAGCTATCAGTATATTCGTGATATTACCACTTTACTTCATCTCTTCTAATTCAATATTAAAATAGTATTTAAGGGGTAACGCATGTGAGACGAGGAGAGTATGGAGGCAAGATCAAACAACCTGAATGAACATTCTTCACATGTTTGCTGTAATGTCACAACAGGTGATCCAAGCAACGAAAGCAAATTGATCACTGCATCAAATACATCTTTACTGATTACAGCTGATGGATCACAGGTTAGTCAGTGTTTGTTTCCTTAAATACTAAATAAAAGTATTGTCATTCATGTCATTTTGCATAAAACTGATTACTTTCCTGATCATTGTTTTTTCCAACTTCATTTCCCAAACTATATATTTACTGACATTGCAAGTAATTTTAAGTACTGTGATCTTAGCAAGATGAGCGAAGTGACACGTGGGAACAATCGGTACTGGAACATACTGAGTATTCTTCGATGCAGAACGATCTAAACAGAGAGAATACGAATAATGAATACGAAACAAATGCAGTCCATCCATCGTTGACGGAGTTTTTTCAGAATTCTCGAATTGATGCATTTGGTTTCATACACAGTCTCAACAATATGTACATCTTTTTTAACCGTTTCATGTTTTATTTTGTTACTGGCGTTTGTCCATTAGTTACATTTTAATGAACAGAATGATTTATCATAGTTTTTGACTGGTTATCGTAGTGAATTTGCAAACTAATAGCTAGTACTAATAGCTCTTCAGAAAAGTGCATACTCTCTATAATAGTAAGAAGTTATGGGTTGCTGAAACAGCGTTTGAAATACATTGCAGATAAGATTAGTTTACTATTTTGCAGTTAAGATCACTGAATTCAAAGTAATAAATTATTACTTTTGAAGTGAAAATGATTGTCGATTTTTGGGTCATTTATACGATATCTTATGTAAAGTGACTGAGGAAAAAATGCTTAACAACTTTGGAAAAATTTGAGAGTAAAAATTATAATTCTGCCGTCTTAAATATTTTATGACTGTTGCAGAAATCGTGAATCTGCAATAGACTTGGAGACGCTGCGAAAACGTGAAAAAAAATGGTTGCATATGCTTACAAATTGGTCATATTTTATGGATAATAAGTATGAAAAAGTAAGGGAACGTTGCCGCAAAGGTATACCGCCGTCATTGCGTGGTCGAGCTTGGAAACACTTATGCGGCGCTGCATTCCATATGGAATTTAGCGTGAATAAACATGTTTTCGAGGTTAACAACTTGCCGTTTTACATAATTGTTGATGATGAAATCCAAAACCGAAATTTTTGTTTGAAATTTTGTTCTGCTTTCTCATGCAAATGTTCGTATCTAAAGCCAGTAAAATTTATACGTTTAGGAAGTAAGTAGTCAACCGGGTGACTCTCGATGGATTGAAGATATTAAGAAAGATTTAAATCGGCAATTTCCGGAGCATGTGATGTTTTCTCGTGCTGGTCCATATGGAAAAGGAGGGTATGTTTTGCTGTGGCAAAAATATGCTCGTTCTATCAGCAGGACACTTTCATCATTAAACTTTCTTTTACTACGGTTTCTTGCATAATAAATGTTGCTGATTCATTGCAGAATTGGAATTTTAGAGTTCTTATTCACTTGATTAGATTTACATAAATATGTTGCAGAAAATCAGATTTGTTCGAATTACTTAAGGCATATACGGTACTACATCCTGAGGAAGGTTACTGTCAAGGACAAGCTCCTGTTGCTGCTGTTTTGCTTATGCACATGCCACTGCGTGATGCTTTTTATTGCTTTGTACAAATTTGTCACAAATATTTGCCGGGTTACTACAGTGCCGGTCTTGTATGCTTTTTGAAAATTTTCTTTAAAGTTAAATGTGTTCGTCGCATGTTTACTTCTTCGTTCTGTGCTTTACTGAAACACTTCAGATAATTTTAGACGTGTAGCTTAGTTCTAATTTAATTTCTTATTCTTATGAAACGCCCAAAAAATGGGAAAGGATGATTAGTTATTTCCTAATTAAAGTAAGAGGAATAGAAGCAAGTGTATCGAATGTTTGGGAATAGATGTGACTATGAATTTCAATAACAAAGTAACTTGTGATTTTGCTATTGCTCTATGTATGTTTCTCCTTATTCTTAATGCTACTTATAGGAGGCTATACAAATCGATGGTGATATTTTATTTCAAGTGCTGAAAGACAAATCACGCTTTAGTTATAGGCATTTGGTTCGTTTTTTTTTTTTTTTTTTTTTTGTACTAATAAACTTTTGTAAAGAAATTTAAAAGGAAAAATTCCCACGATAATGATTTTTTTGAAGAAAAAACATCGCGTTGAACCAGTACTTTATATGGTTGAATGGTTTATGTGTATTTTTTGCCGAACTCTTCCGTGGCCAACAGTACTTCGAGTGTGGGATATGTTTTTTTGCGAAGGTATATAAGTATATCAACTTTTCTCTTATGTAGTGAATATTATGAATGCAAGAAGTAAATAAAAGCTAATCCTGTATATATTTAGTAATTAAGTATTTATGGACGATGAAGATAAAAGACGATACCTGCGCTGTGTCAATATTCTGTCAATAAATTAACTTATAACTGATATTGCCTTTCTTATGTCTCTAACAAGTACTTTGTTGTGCTCACTGAGTTTCAATTTCAAGCATGTTGAAATGTAAAATATGGCTAATTTTAATGCTTATTGCATCTTTTATTTTTTAAAACGGTACTCAATGTCGCTGCGGTTGATTCTGCACAGCTGTAGATGCTTACTAAGTGCAAACTCTTAATTTCTTAATTTGTTATTTATTGTTCACGAGTAAGTGCTTTCTGATTCTTGCATGGAAATTAATTGCTGTAAGCATCTGTTTTCTTCAATGCAAAAAACTGTAATATACTTCTAATACTCTATATTTCTTAATCGCGTAAAGTACTGAATAGTCTGAACGATTGACAAAGTTAACTTAGTGAGCTAATCATTAATTAAATGAAATCATTTAATAGATTTGAAAGATTATGTTAGGTAGTAGTGAATAAGACGATTATTTGCAGTGAACTGAATATATTAAAATTTCAGGCGTTAAAGTACTTTTCAAGGTAGCAGTGGTTTTGTTTCGCTACAGCCTTCGCACAAGTGACCAGCTTAGAGAGTTTAACGACTTCCATTCAATTGTGACACGGCTGAAGAACCTTCCTGAAAAGATAATGACTGAAGATTTTCTTATTCAAAAGGTATCAGGAAGGCATTAGTTCGAGCAGTGTTTGTCAATTTCTTTTGATTAGCAGCTCTTTTTTTCCCAAAGTAAACTGACCGACCATTGCTGGTAGTTAAAGACGGATGGATTGCAGGTTATTGACCTCGACTTGGACGATGTTGAAATGGAGAGGATTCATTTTAGAATTATGAAAACCAGACAACTGCGGATGAATCAATCATATGGAAATGACAAACTTCTCTGCTATTGATATATCGGACGCGGCGGAGTTGTAAAAGGGGAAACGACTGCATCGGCCGGGAATCGAACCCGGGCCGCCCGCGTGGCAGGCGAGCATTCTACCACTGAACCACCGATGCCGCACATATTATGCTGCGCAGTTTTAGGAAATTGTATATATCAGTTTTGTATTGAAATGTATTCATAATAAGCAGTTAGTTTTAGTTCGAGAAGTGCCTTTTGGATATTTGATTGTGTTACTTTGATCAATTTTATGGTGGTTCTTGTGAAATTTACAATATATTTCTGTTTTGTTATATATATTATATAATAAGATTATGGGTGACGAGTAAGCACCGTCGGATTATTTCAGTGCCATGAAGACACTTATTTTTGTAATAGTCGTTGCTAATGTATAACGGTTTTGTCATCATGTAATGAGGAGTGATGCATTTATGGGTACTGCTAAACATGAATCAGTTCGTTTTTATTTCTGCTAGTAGTGTATAATTTACTTAGACAAATATGAAAACATACGAGTTTGCTTCTGTTTTATGAAAGAGGGTAGTTAGGATGAAGCATGGCATAGGGAAGTAATCATTAGCATAGAATTAGTAATTTATGTGCCTGAATTTTTCATCGTAACACTTATTTGTGTTATGGTCATTGATAATGTATAACGGTTTTGTCGTCATATCGTCAAGAAATATCTTTCATATTTTTTTTTTTTCGTATTTCTTAATTTCTTCCTTTCATATTCCTTACTTGTTCATTCTTCTATTGAACTTTGAATATTAAATGCAAATGTATTTTAACATGACAGTTATCTTCTTAAGAAGTTACATTTAATAAATGAGAACACTGTTTCATCTGAAGGGTAATTTATAGAAATACAAACCTATCGGTTCTAGCGGGATGCACTGGTATCTGAATGTCTCTTAGATTCTCGTATAATTCAGACAGTTATGGCACGTTTCCCACGTAATCCGTGAGGTCGCATTTGCACGCTATCAGTTTTTCATCAGTGAGTGGCAAACATGGACATTCTGTTGACGTACGGACGTGGCTCAGTCTGGCGGGAAAAAGTGTTGCACAGGGCGATAGGGAGGAGAGAGAGTGCGGAGCTATCGGAGAGGCAGACGAGCAGATGGAATGTAATCAATTGCAGTGGTTGTGTTGGAGGAAATCGGAGTTCGTGAGAGAGGGAGGCAACGTTGGTAAGGTGAAGCGGTACAGTAGTGGTCATCTGGTGTCCACTAGGGTGCGTGTCCACTCTGTGTGCATGCGAAGAGAATGCAAGATGCCTTCACTATCAGATTTTACGTCTTATTTCTTCCTTGCATATTTTTTTGATGTAAGATTACTCCGTTTGATATAATGTAATGTAGATACGTGTTACAATACTTTAGCAACGTTTAGTATTATTTATTATCGTTTAGTACATACATATATATATTTCTAAATTCTTATCAAATATGAATATTGTAACTCTTTGTCTTTGCTAGTTATCTGCCTTCCTTCTTTCTGTCTTTCATGTAAATGTAACTTCATTGATGTGAATTCTGCCTATAACACTATCAAATTAATAAGATTCAAGATGAATTATTCCACATGAAATTTAATATTCATTCATTATTGGGATTATTTCCTGTGTGATAATAGAAATTTTCCAGTAAAAATTGTTGTTTTAAGTAAAGATATTATTCGATTTAATCATTTTATAGCTTGCGCAGTTGGCTGATTAATTGATTAAGTAACGCAGTTTCGTTTGGAAATAGTATTCGACAAGTGTGTGAGATAATTACAACGGTAACGAGCTAAATAATTAAATTTATTCGAAATTAAATTTACAAATCAGCTAGCTGGTTGTGACTTTATCTAAGGTGGGAAATACTGTTGCTATATTGACACAAATATATTCTAATTATTAGACGACAAGGATACCATCATGCCTCACAAACTTCAAAATGAGGTAAGATTTACATCTCCTTATTGTTTCTTCATTTAAATTTATATCTACAAGTTTCGCTGATTATGACTGTTTGCCAAAGCTATTCTGTTGATTATATTACAGTTTCTTAGTATAAATTTCATTTTTATTTATCAGCAGTGTTAAATTCGTCACCTAATGATTATTAGTAAATTTATTGCTTATGTAGTGTCACTTCGTTTTGTCGGTATATCCAAGAAATTTCTACAAATCTGATAGTTTTTCAAATTATTTTCATATACTGCAAATGTATTAAATTGCACGTTAGAGTATAAGAAGCGAAATTTGAAAAATTCAGAATTAAAAACTTTGTAGAATATATATGAAGTACGAGGAGTTTATGCAAATCAGGAGCTGCTGGTACTGATAACGAAAATGATTGTAAGTTACATGAGAAATTATCTCCGTTTGTGTTTAACTGATTTGATGAGAAATGTGCCATGCTCATAATAACCATAAATTGCTCCTTTCTCGTATTTTATGGTAATTTTGAAGTCGGAATGAAAATGGATTGAATCAAATTTACATCGATTAGCAAAATTATTGTAATTGTATGTTAATTTTTAGGGTAAGGAAGTGTTGCTTGAAACTCGTGATGGATTAACATTTGAAGGGATATTTGCAGGTTGCTCTCCGGATGTGGGTATTTCTTTTTACATTGCATCCGTCATTTCAATGTTTTATATCTTGTCTGGTTGAACTAAAGCAATAAAGAGTTTAATTTTTAGCCACTTTGCTAGATGTTTCTGATAATTTGCAGTTCGATGTTGGCTTGAGATACGCGCATGAAGTACTCACAGATGATCAAAAGAACTTGTTGCCTCATAAGGATCAAATTATTGAGAAACTTCAAATTGAAAGGGACTGTATTTATAGTGTGGGGGCAAAATATCGGGATGAAAAACGGATTGAAGGTTTTTTTCCATAATTGATTTGATTAACAAGTTATGCAATTTTATTGTAAAAGAAAACAAATACCTTAGAAAATACGATAAATTCAAGGATTTGCTACGGATCGTGAATATGCGGATCAGAGCGGTTCTGTGGCAGATATGGAACTGCAAGTATGGGAGTCCGAAGATGACTTTGACAGTGGTCTTCTATTAAACGATGATCAGGAAGATGGTTGGTCCGTTGAACAAATGTTTCAGGCAAATGATGTTCTGGGGGTCAAAAGCACGTTTGATGAAAATATGCCGGAATATGCTACGTAATTTTTTATTCCTTCTTGTATTCTTGGAAAATTTAACTATTATGTGGACAAAGTTTAAATATTAAGAAATCCCTCTGTGTCCTCTGGTTCATTTTTTTTTTATAGGACTTCAGTGCGTACTTCTATTGTTTGTATGTTTAAATTATTTCTGGAATTTCAGAGCCGATGTGCAGGGTAATGCAGAAGATTTTAAGCGAGCAGAACGGATTGCGCAAGAAATCAATAGTAGCAGTGTAAGCAGAGCGCGTGCACAACTAGAAAATGATGACGAAGAGCGTGATTTGGATAGGGAGACATCAGAATTTCAAATACAGCATAGTAATCGAAAAGCATCTAACACAGGGTAAAAATGCATCCTATAAAAAATTATTGTTTACAGTAAGACATATCAATAGGACAATAAGCACTTATGAGATTTTGGCACAGGTGATTATTTTTACCATTCAGTAAGGTTTCTTGTGGTTTCGTAGATAATCATGAGGAAATAGTTCTAGGTTACCCGCACTGTATCCTGTTAAAAGCTCTTCGGTAAAAAATGGATCTAATATCTGTAATCCATTCAGACGTGGCAGCTATTCAGGGAATATTCGAGATAGAGGTGGCATGAATATAAATAGAGGGCCACCGAACGGTAGAAGATCGGAAGGTATGCCAGGTGCAGGAAGAGGTACGACTCACTCATGATTATAAAGATTTCAGTTTCTAGTATCTCACTGTTCTTGTTGGTTTAACTTATTTTTTTGTTTACTGTTCAACCAGATTAATAGGAATCTGGAACAAACTGGAAAACTTCTAGGACGTGGATCATATGGATCCGGCGGTGGTTCATCACGTTTATTTACAAATTCATCAATGAGTCATGGAGTACGCCCTCAAAATTCGATTGGATCAGGGCCTATTTCGCGTTATGCACCTAGCGGTATTTTGGAGAGGCCGACCGCGCAGGAACTACACCTACAGTTTGGCCGTATGCTTTTTTTTTTTTGCTACTTGAATATTAGCTTTAATATGGTATGTTGGACTTCAAAAGTCAACTTAAAGGAATTTACAGATTTTTGTTATTATGGTGAATAAAAAAACAAATCTGAGTACAAACCGCATTTGTATTCGAACTCATTTCTTTATTTATTCAGTTTCTATTCGCAATTGATTTATGTGTTACAGTACATTATCATTCTTTCGTGCACTTTACTGCATATCAGTAATTCAATCCATTTTTGTATTCTGTTGTTTCATTTCAGAGTGGGTTCGACGTGGTGAAAGTTCAGGTTCCGCTTCAGCCTCAGACAATGTAAGAGCTGGACGGCGGTCGGAGCAAGTTGGAAATAATACAAGGGTTTACGATCATCGTTTGATGACTGGTCAACATGAAGGACAACCTTCACGTGCTTTATTTATTAATTCATTCATTTATTTACTTATCAGTATTTTGCCGAAGTTTGATTTAAAAACCTACCAAGAACAATGTAGATGACTTCTTTATGTATATATGGTATTTCACATATGGTATTTCATGTTCATTATGGTATTTCACAAATGTTCATTTTATAGGTGATGAAAATAAGAACTTGCATTATTCGAATACATCAAATAGCATGGGTAGCGCTTCGCGACAGCAAACATCAAAGCAAACAGAACGGGTCAGAAATTTAAAAGAATTTCATCAGAATTTCAACAGTACTTTCCAGCCATCGCATTCCGTGCATAACAGTGCAGATGATGTTCAGGTCCGTTGTCATAATTCACTGAACATCCCCTATCACAGTAATGGATTAACAAAAGTTGACACTGGATGCATATTCAGCAAGGCGCGTTATTACAAATAGTG